TGACCAGTCATCTCTTCTTTGCATGCCAATAATAATCTCTTCTCAGTACTGAAATGCTAATGACCAGTACATTACTACCACTAAAGTAACAGTAATCTTTCAGGTGGATAGAAAGAATAGCTTGCATTATAACCATTTCTCATTACAAATTCATTATTTCAGAAGCACAGCACAGGAAGATCCCACAAACAGCCCTAAGATAAATGATGAGCTAATCTATTTTGGTGTTCTTTGTTTGTGCACCAGGGGAGGACCTATACTGTGCTATAAATGGTCGTCTTTTAAAACAAAGAATTAGTTTAATGCCTCATCCAATTGTGTGCATGCTAATATTATTGCATGAAAGCATCAGTGTTGATTGTGTGTTTACGTTTCTGTCATGGGGCCAAAACTCCTCTACACCCAGCAGGCCGGCACCTGCAATAATGTCCATGTGAGGTCCCTTCTCAAATACCAACAATTGTCACCAAGTGTAAACAATAACCCACTTGCCCCTTCTGAATCCTCTCCCCAATGCTTCGTGTTGATTAAAATCCATCTCAATGTTATTTACATTTCAATGTCGATTCGAATCTTCCTGCCATTTTTAAGTAGTCTATTCATCAGTTGTTCCATTCATTAACATAATGGTTTCTTTTCTGTCTTTGTTGCCAAATCTATACTTTGAATAAAACACCTGTCTGAGATTCATAAATTTGGTGATTGACAAGAGAGTTGTTAAAAACAGATAAAGCACAATCAACTTGTCTTGTATCCCACATTGGGAGATGCACAAATATAATTAATCCTAACAAACGGTACTGAGTCTGCTTTGACTACCTATCCAATATTGAAGATGAATTATTAAAAAGTCACTGATAACCAAAAAGCCTCTTCCCAGCAATTGAAATGAATAACTGATTTGAATTCAATACATTGCAAAACTAGAGCAGGAATTCCTCATGTTACAATCCACACCAATTTATCATGAGATCAATAGGAATAACCTGACGTAATATGTGTTATTTCCTTTACATAAAATAAAAAACCTTGAACAATGTCGAACAAAGTATTCTATCCCTTCATTCAGTACTTTTCCTCCTTCCATTTCACCTGTGGTTTAAATATCTAGCTGCACCATGTTGACTGACATTGGACACTTAAAACTCCAATTAAATGATAATTTTTCATGCAGAAAAGAGTAAATGAGCAAACATTAGAAGTTTGTTTGACCACAGAGACATCACACACCCATTCTTACACATGCATTTTCAGGAAAGATTGAAACTGGGATCGTGGTCAGTTTCCCTTCCATAATCAGTGGACCTTGGAGCTGTTGTAGATTTCTTAGACTAAATTCCTGAACACAGTGCAGGGCTTGAAGTTGGAATCTTTCTGACCTTTATGGTTCAATTACTCATTACCATCCCTCTGAGTCATGGGCTTACATTATAATTTTCTGTTAAATTTCAATAACTTATAAATAAGAAGCAATCGGAATAGTTGTTTGAATTCAAGATGAAAATTGAAAAGAACAGTCAATTTTGTGCTGAATTACCTTCCAAATTAATTCCCTTACTATATTATGTTATTAACTATAATTGGATTGTAGGAATGGACTCCAGTATTGTAGAATAATTAAAGAACTTGACCTCAACTTTGATCCTCTTAGTTGACTACTATAATACCCATTAGTTAATCAGATCTGGTCTCAGCTGCAAGTACGTTGAATTAACCTGTCAGTCCAAGTTTCATACAAAATAATGTTTATAGTTATAGTGTCTTATATATGTCATAATTACAAATTAGAATTAAAGAAGCTAAACCACTAAAATGTATGCTCCTTAGCATTGCTCTTTCTTAAGAATATTCAGTGTTTTCACAATTAAGGTTCAGGAATATGTGCTCTGAATGGACCGCTGCTACCTGTTGCCATTAATGGTGTGGTCAGAACTCAGGTGGGTCAGCAGCATAAATACTTAGCATTAAATTGCAATATCAAATACCAAAAACTTGTTTCCTACAAAACTAATATTCCCTAACGCAGGAGTATACTCACAGAATTGTGTTTGGGTAACTGTTCCAAGTGTTTATCTACTGAGTAACATGTTATAAGCAATAATTTCCTCTTTAATGACGACAACAGTCACCTGCAAGAATGGCCAACTTTCAATTTGAAAAGCAAACTAATAATTATCACTACAAGCAAATATGGGGCAATTCGTGTAGTGGGTATGATGCTATTTTTAATTCAGTGCTGAAAAGACCAATTAAGAAGAACTAACCATGGTGCTACCACGTAACATCTAATCTATAAAGCAAAGTTTCTGAGTTACAAACATTTATTTTTTTCGCCTATTTATCATATCCAACTCGTTCTAGAAAAGTTAGTAAAAGTCAGTACACGTTCTGAAGAAAGCTTATAGATTGACTTTACCAGCAGGTTCAATGTTCTGCAAACATGATATTAGTCTGGTTATGGCTTTTTTTGACTGCAGAGAAAAGCAATCTCTGGTTTTTCCACAGGCTGATATCCAAAGACCCTGATGATGATGATGGCTGACTATTTTTATGCCAAGTCCGTTTTCTATATCTGAGAGTTAGTTCATTTGTCCACTTTATGACCGAAACAATATGACACCTTCCCCCTCCTCATTTCTGAAGAAGGGTCCCGACCTGAAACGTAACTTTCCTGCTCCTCTGATGCTGCCTGGCCTGCTGTGTTCTTCCAATTCCAATCTGTGTTATCTCTGACTCCAGCATCTGCAGTTCTTGCTATCTCTGCCCAAACCAGATACCCATTTTTATGTTTGGATCCCAATAGTTGCTACATTCTTTGAAATTCAGCTCATAGGATAGCACAGAAAGCATTTACAACTGATTCACCTGTGGATCTCGATCGAAAACCATCATCACCTAGAATTACTTCTTATCAGCTTAGTGATAAGAATTATTTGTTGACATTCTTTGAACACTCTTTGCGTCATGGCCTAAATTGAACATAGACTTTGACACTTAAAGGAAAAAAAAATTTAACAGGTCTGTTGTCACTTCCTGAGACATATGTCAATGAAATGTCATTTAGCATCAGCTCTGCAATTTTATATTTTTCTTTCTTCTTTACTACCAGAAGTTTCATCACACACAACTGAGCACCTTCCACCGCCAAAACCACCATGACTTTTTTTTTTTGCTTTTTTTAAAAATAGTAACTACCACCTGTCAAAAAACTCTGTTTCCAAATGAGTATTTACCTTCAAAGCCCATTATGGGCAACACAGACCATCAAGGGTGACCTGCAACTTTAATATAGGAATATACAAATTTGGAGAAGGAGTAGGCTATTGGATTCCTCAGGACTGATTTGCCATTTGATAAAAGCATAGCTGATCTGGTTGTGGCCTCAATCCCACTCTCCCAAATAGCTCCTATGTCCGTTGCCTCCCTTGTTGATCATCAATCTACCTAACTCAGTCTTAAAATAAAACTTAATGAACCTGACTCCACTGTTCACTAATGAAGAGATTGGTGTAGGCTAAATGGTATCGACCTATACATACCATACTGTTAGGTACTGGGGGTCTTGTGGTGCAGTGGTAGTGACCCAACATCTAGGCCAGAGGGTCTGCATTCAAGTCCTACCTATCCCAGCGTTGTGTGAGAACAGATTGGTTAAAGCAACTGGAATAAGTACTGTTCTGAAGAAGAATCATACCGAACTTGAAATGTTAACTTTGCTTGTCTCTCCACAGATGCTGCTAGACATGTTGAGCTTCTCCAGCATTCTCTGTGTTTGCTTCAGATTTTCAGCATCCACATTACTTTGGTTTTATTAAAATAAACACTGCTGCTGGCTTGCCATCTATTTTAAATTAGGAGAGATGGTGATGTAGTGGTAGTGTTCTTGGACCAGTAATCCTAGAAACCCAGACCAGTGATCTGGGGAACAAAAACAGAAGTTGCTGGAAAAGCTCAGCAGGTCTGGCATCATCTGTGGAGAGAAATCAGAGTTAATGTTTTGGGTCGAGTGACCCTTCCTCTGTAATCTGGGGACGTGGGTTTGGATCCCACTATGGCAAACAAATTCAGTTTTTAAAAAAGACTAGAATTACAAGTTAGTGCAATGGTGACAATGTAACCACTGCCGATTGTCATAGAAAATTCACAAATCTTCTTCAGGCAAGGAAACCTGACAGTCTTACCCCAGTCTGGCTTACATATGACTCCGGACCTACAGAGGTGTGGATGGCTCCCAACTGCCCTCTGGGCAATAAATACTGACTTAGCCAGTGATGCCCACATCCCATATATTTGAAAATAATTAGATTTGGTGGGATTGAACAAAAGCCCTAAATTGCTGACGCATAATTTCATGAGCTAACCAGACATTGAAAAATCTGGAGCCAAAAGAATGTTGAAATAAATGCAGGATTTTAACAGGAACTTAGATCTTAGTTGTGTTTGCAGTGGAGGAAATCAGATATGACAAACAAACCATATCTTTTTGGCACATGTCCAAGTGACATTGGAGTAGAGGTACATTGTTCTCCATGTACATTTCACAATCAATATTTTTTTGTGAAAATGATGACCTCATTCTGCCTGACCAATAACTGTAGGATTATAAAATCATCCCAACAATTTGTTACGTTATCCATCCATCACCATTCTAAAGTCTACCATTACAGCATCATTATTTTTTCATCATTTCAAAAGCTTTGCACTTAGCAATCCATCCAGCAACATGATTCATTTTCAATGCCTTTGAGCAACTTGTAAGCACATTCACTTTAAACCTATTCATTGTTTTCATATCAGTAAATATTTATTTCGGTTAGTGGTCGCTTTTCTTAAAATTACTTTATAGTTGCAAGATTTTAGGTTGGAGAAAATTTGAAGGTGTTCTTGTTGATACTCTTGTGTAAGATTAACCAAAGATAAAAAAAACTACTTGTCAAATAAGTGGCATGTTGTCCGTGATAGGGTCAATGTTAATAGGGGGGGGGGGGGGGGTCACACGGGGTAAAGTGACCAGATGTTGGCTGTGTACCGGGACAATGTATAAAGAAGGGTCCCTGCTTCATATTCCTTTTGGGATTGGACGTGTTAATCTAAAACGTGGCTTGCCTCGGGTGAGTACAGCCTAGTCTCTGGTCTAAGATAACTGTATATCTTGTACTCCTCAGGGAGAATCCCCTGAGCTCAGCGATGGAGCGTGTATTGTTCAGCATTAGTAATTGGATAGGACGGGGGAATCGGCGAATTCACCAGGTCATATGTTCTCAACAGTTGCTCCTGGGATTGGGGTGGTTGGAGTTGGAGCTGGTTATGAGAGACTATATAATTACAACAGAATTCTTTCCTTTTCGGACCCAGTCTGGCTCCCTTGGAATTAATGGATGATCGCGATTAATGAATTCTAATTAAACCGTTGCAATAAGGTCCAGGTGACTAAATTTAGTACTTGTACAAATTAATGTTTTACTGGAAACGCTCTAAGCTTGACGAATGTTTCCTTTGGCTCTGGATATGAGGTTACTCCTCCCTCCTTTACACTAACACACTAGCTTTATTATTCCTAAGGAAAATGTATAAGCCAGGGGAAAAAAGACAAACCTCTTTTTCTAATCTGTGTTCTAGCAGCAAATAGAAATTAAAAAGGTATCTAGGGGAAAAGTCAGTAGTATGACTTCGGCCCTGGTTTAGAATTCTGTTCATTGGCGTAAATGAAACGCTGAGGAGATGCTGTTAGTTTGCTATGAACTTATAATGATAAACCCTTGGATATGCAATTGGTGTCGGGAACCTTGGACTCTGCTTACCTCTGCAATTAGGGCCACTATTGGCAGTTTTTATTTTTTTTTTTAAAACCCCAGAACAATACAAATATTGCTGCTGCCTTAACGTTCAAACTGTGTTGGGCAGTCTGGAAATGTGCATTGTTTTCTATACCGAGCATCTGAGTTGCAGCCAAATTTTAGAAAAACAACTAGAACAGAGCTTTCGGTGTAAGGACTGAACTCTTTAATCCGCTGAGGTTTTTTAAAATTCACTTCTAGAAGTGCCCCCTAAGATAGATACTGGGCCAAATGTAAATTTTAAAAAGATTACTTCAGTCCCTGCTACCAACTGCTCCCTTAAAACACTTCAAGGGAGAACCAGACCAATAGAAAACGGGGTTTCACATTTACACACCAGCTCCATATCTGCACTGTTGTTAATACCCGTATCACTTTTGCAACATTCAGCTCTGTCGTATGTTTACATTTTTCTACAGAAAACTTGGTCTGTGCTCTTGTTTGCTGTTACTTGATCTGTTTGCTAATTTTCTCCAAGTATTGTTTATCCATTCCTCCTATATTCATTGACTTGCAGTTTTTGGTTTTTGTTATGCAATGTGTTTTGGTGACTTCTTTCCCCAAAATTCACTACCTTGTAGTCAAACCTTTCTGCAACCTCCTGCAGATCTATAAATAGCTGCAGCCCCCCCACCCCCATTCTGACCTCAGCACTTTCCTCTTTCAGTTTTTGAAGTTTGAAGCTCTTGAATTCCCTCGTGTATTTTCCCTTCCCCTGTTCTACTGCAAAACCTACCTTTGACTAAACTCTGCTCTGAAGTCCTTCTGCTGATCAATGATGAATTTAATTGACTTTTTTGTTCATCAACTTTGGGCATTTGTCAATTCCTAATTGACCTCTGAGCAGTTAAGAGTGATGCACATTGCTGTGGTTTTGGATTCACATGCAGGCCAGACCAGGCAATGATGGCTGATTTTCTTTCCTTAAAGGATACCAGTGAACCAGATGAGCCTTTGAATGATGGCTACAGAATCACTGTCAACTTTTTAATTCAAGAATTGTATTGAATTCAAATTAAACAATTTGGCATGGTAAGATTTGAATCTATGTTCACTATCATTAGGTTGGGGTTCTGTTTTATTAATCCAGTACCACCATGTCCCCCTTAAATTAATCATCCCCTTCCCATGTAAGTCCAATTAAGTGTTATTGAAATGAGCAGTCAATTTTAGCTTTTATGTGTAATCAAGGAAGTGGCTTTCTGCTGTCTAGATTGTTTTTCCTCCTTCTCTCCATCTTGCAGCAGATCATGTGTAAGAACTGAAAAATTGCCAATACAGCACAGTCCTTTAACTTTCCTCCTCAATTTTTTTTGTTTTTGCATTGTATTTATTCCCTTTCCATATTTTTGACTGACAAACAAATGTAACTGGATGCTGGAGCAACAGTATGATATCATGGAGTCAACCATTGCTTGGTATAAGTACCCTATTGTGGGTGGAGATAGAAAAAAGTCTGGAAAGAACATCGGAAGAAGTGCATCGGAACTTGTGACTCTCTGAAAGAGGCACAGACCACATTGACGTAAGCAGTCAATGATAACTTGTTGTTGTTGTGGTAATTACTAAGATGAGAGCCTGGCATATGATTACCATGTATACGGTATTTAGTATACTTACCTCTTAAAGAATGAGCCTGAAGACTTGCTTTGGTTTTTTCCTGAGCTGGCCTGCCCTGAACCCAAAACTCATGTTGGCATTAAAAACATGAGGATCACTGTTCATTGGAATCCAATGTTGCCACAATTTAATAATTGTAAAATTTCTCAATCCAAGCAGTGGCTGCCTAAGGTCTTCATTTGGATATAGTGCTTCATTGCCTTTTCTTTTGTTTATTCTTCAAGAATGTTGGACTATCCTTGAATGTGATCACCCTGCAACCACATCTCTAATAGGAGTCAAGTCATATTCATGTTTCTGTTTGTGCTGTCAATTCCAAATTGATTCCTGTGATGGAAAGGAGAGACATGTTTGTTGCAGACAAGATAGTCCAAATTTTCTCTCTCCTGGGTGAGGAAGGATGAATTGGCTTCCCTTTTTATTCACTGACCTCTCAGTTGCTTACAGCATGGTTAATTTTAAAAGAACCCTGTCCTTTATGGATGCTGTTCTCCCAGATCAAGTAAACTTCATTTTAAAATGACCCAATTTAATCGGTCTTTCGTTAATGAATGAAGCTACCAAATATGGGGTTGGCAGGGGGATAAAATAATATGTATAGATGGATTTAAATAAGTGACAGTTCTGATACGCAGATCAGACTGTTCCATGAAATCTAGCATGGGTGATAATGATAGCATGGATGTTAATGCAGGGGTTGAAGGTGAACTGTAACTTTTTTGTCCTGTTTTATTTTCAGTTGTCTTATTAGCAGCACTAAGTGAGACTGTGCGTCCCTGGGTTCAATTCCACCCTTGGGCAACTGTCTGTCTGTGTGGAGTCTGCACATCCTTCCTGTTCTGCGTGGGTTTCCTCTAGATGCTGTGGTTTCTTTCTGCAGTCCAAAGATGTGCAGTTTAGATGGATTGGCCATGCCAAATTGCCCATAGTGTTCAGGAATGTGCAGGATAGGAGGCTTAGCCATGGGAAATGCAGGGTTGCAGGAACTGGGTAGGGGGTTGGGTATGGATGGGATTGGGTATGCATGGGATGCTCTTCGGAGGGTTGGTGTTGACTTGGTGGGCTAAATTGCCTGCTTCCACGCTCTAGGGCTTTTGATTTTTGATTCTGTCACTTCCTTTTGCCTGCAATTCAGGGATGTTCAATGGTTACCCTCAAGCTGTGATCTTCACAGCATGCCAGGCCACTAATGTGTGTACACTGGGGATCATGGTTCTTTTTTTCAAATCTCCATTTTGAAACTATCAGAAGGCCCTTTTTTAAGAAAGCCTTTTGGCTTGGTCCTATTTTTGGACTAAACCCATAAGATATTTTCCTACTGAGGAAGAAATTACATTGCCTTGTACTTCTATGGCACTCATCATTTCCTGTTTGAATCCTTGGAATGTTTCTGCATTCAGTGAATTCACACTTAGCAGTTACATTGTCAGACAGACTTGGCTCACAGTCTTGCTTTTCAATGAACTAGTGCCTCCTTCCACAAGCCTAAGTAATTCAGTGTTTTGATCCATGGTTATGACAGTATATTCTGTTCCAAACCATTGAATCTCTTGGCTTTATTTGCTTAGTAAGCCCCCAGATCTCTCCAGGCATGAAGGGTCATGCCCAAAACATTGACTACTCCTTTCTCCCAGATGCTGCCTGACCTGTGTTCTTCCAGCCTCTGTTTGTCTACCTTGGATTCCAGCATCTGGAGGAGTTGTTGCTTTTTGTCTCTATCTCTACCTTACTGGTTCTTAATTAACATTAAACTTTGGTGTCCTGGTCCAGGAGCCCTGCCTCCTTACACTTCCTTTTCAGTCTTTATGGCATTGAATCAGAACAAAGTATGCAAGGTTCAGCTGGCTTCATTTCAGGTAGTCTTTGTAGAACATACTGATGTCACTGACTGACACTCTTTACTGTGGAGAGATAGTAGGAACTGCAGATGCTGGAGAATCTGAGATAACAAGGTGTAGAGCTAGATGAACACAGCCGGCCAAGCAGCATTGGAGGAGCAGGAAGGCTGATGTTTCGGGCCTAGTCCCTTCTTCAGAAATGTGGGAGGGGAAGGGGGTTCTGAAATAAATAGGGAGAGAGGGGGAGGTGGGTGGAGAGGAAACAGACAGGTCAAAGAGGTGGGGATGGAGCCAATAAAGGTCAGGGTAGGTGGGGAGTTAGAGAGGAGATAGGTCAGTACAGGGAGGACGGACAGGTCAAGGAGGTGGGATGAGGTTAGTAGGTAAGAGATGGGGGTGGGGCTTGAGGTGGGAGGAAGGACAGGTTAGGGAGGTGGGGGACAAGCTGGGCTGGTTTTGGGATGTGATAGGGGGAGGGGAGATTTTGAAGCTTGTGAAGTCCACATTGATACCATTGGGCTGCAGGGTTCCCAAGTGGAATGAGTTGCTGTTCCTGCAACCTTCAGCTGGCATTGTTGTGGCACTGCAGGAGGCCCAGGATGGACATGTCATCTGAGGATTGGGAGGGTGTGTTGAAATGGCTTGTGACTGGGAGGTGCAGTTGTTTAGTGCGAACAGAGTGCAGGTGTTCTGCAAAGCAGTCCCCAAACCTCTGCTTGGTTTTCCCCGATGAAGAGGAGGCCACAATGGGAACAGAGGATGCAGTTATACCAATGTGGACTTCACAAGCTTCAAAATCTCCCCTCCCCCTACCACATCCCAAAGCCAGCCCAGCTTGTCCCTGTCCTTCCTCCCACCTACCTCCTCCTCCTACCTACTAACCTCATCCCACCCCCTTGACTGTCTGTCCTCCCTGGACTGACCTATCTCCTCCTACCTCCCCACCTACACTCACTTTTACTGGCTCCATCCCTGCCTCTTTGACCTGTCTGTCTCCCCTCCAACTATCTTCTCCTCTATCCATCTTCTATCCGCCTCTTCCCCCCCCCCCCCCCATTTATTTCAGAACCCCTTCCCCTCCCCCATTTCTGAAGAAGGGTCTAGGCCTGAAAAGTCAGCATTCCTGCTCCTCTGATGCTGCTTGGCCTGCTGTGTTCATCCAGCTCTACAGCATGTTCTCTTTTTACTGTGGATCTTTGTTCTCTCTGCTTATAGGCTTTGTCTCTGATCGATCCTTTTTGTCAGAGGGCATTGCTCCAATTTTCAACTGGTTTTAATGCAAAAATCAACATGAAGTTTATGCCATATCCTTGTATGTTTGGCAATTCCTATTGGAGTAGCAACTCTCCCATTATCACTGACAATGGGTCAATAGTTTAAATGTCTGACTACATGATTTTCCAAAAATATTCAAAACTACGTGAACAAACTTTGTTTCAAGACACTATGTAATGCTTAAATATGGCTCAACAGTAGATTGTCCCAATTTAAGGGTGTGAGGAAGGAGAAACAATGTTGAAATGTGACTGTACGCAAATTGATTGATTGGCACACCCTCTATACTTTGCTGTGGAGCAACAACTAGATTGTTGGTAGAACTTTGACCTGTATGCGTCATCCACCTACCTTATTGAAATCTGAACTCAAACTAGTCAGAATCGATATTGGCTGAGCAAAGGCTTGAAGGGTTGACCAGAAGCTCTAATTTTTATAAGGTTAGCTGAAAAGTGAGTACCATCTTTCCATTTTGATTCTGCTTTTACTTATTTTGGACTATGTATTTTGCTCTGCTCGATGTGAATCGGCAATGTTGTAGATCTATACAAGTCACCTTTCCTTTTGATTGTTAGCTTCAATCATCTCCCATATAGCATTGAGGTTTTTTCTGCTTCCCCATGATAGGATGTAGGATTCACTGAGAATGCCAGTGTTTGTTGCTCATTACTATTGCTGTGAACTGAGTAACTTCCTTCACTACCCTTTGAAATGGAGTCAACCACATGTGTGGATTTGGTTACATGGAGGGCAGACTGGCTAAAGACAACAGATTTCCTAACTTCATAGCTCACTAATGCTATTGAGGTATTCTGTCATCAATGACTGAAAATATAGAATTGAAAGCTGATTGAAATTGATTGTAAACTGTGTTCTTACAACATTAGTCTGGACCTATTTTGAATTTCTAGTCTAAGGAAATTACTACTGTGCTAATTATTTGTTTCCCTTCTGTCCACATATGAAATAGTTCTATGAAACTGAATTTGCCTTAAAGTTCAGTATCAAACTTGTCACTTTACAGACTTGTTTCCCAGACTGTGGGCCATGGTGCCCAATGGGGTTGCAAATACTAAGGTAGCTTTGGAACACTTAACAGCAAGGCCCCCTGTGTCTCCACTTTTACATCCTTCCATACTTTTAATGAACTCACAGCTACTCCCCCTCAGTCCCACAGTTCTCTCAATTTTCCGTTGTGGTAGTTGGTTACAGTGACCAAAAGTTTGGGGAGCACTGCTTTAGAGTGGAGTGTGTACCTTACTGTCAAACTACTTCTTTTATTGCTCTTTTAATCTCTGAAAAGATTGTAACCTTGCCGCACACTTAAGAGTTGGAAGTAGATTCTGTTGACCTAAGGACATGGATGAGCATTGGGAGTGTTCTTAATCCCAGTGTGGCTATCTGTTCAAACTACAAATGTATTTACACTTGGCCTACTTCAAAATGTTCCAAGGATACTTAAGAGCCATTGTGACAGTTTTAATCAACCCACAAGGTATTGGGGCAGACGAGCAAAAGCTTCTTCAAAGAAGTTGTTTTTGTTTTGAAGGGAAGGTTCAGAGGCAGAAACAAAGACCTATGGAGGGGATTCTAGAGCTTGGGTCACTGGTAGCAATACTTTCACCTGGCAATGCTGTAACAATGAAACTGACATGTAAGGTGCTATGGTAAGAAGAGTACATGTGACTTGTGGAGCCGGAGAAGGTTAGAGGTAGGAAGCAGTGATGCCATGGAGGAATTTTAAAAATTGCTGCTTTCAACTAGGAGCCAATGTAAGTAGCAAGCATAAGGGATGCAGACTTGATGCAAATTAGGATAGAAACATTCCAAGCTTGGCATTTCCTGAAGCTTGGAGGATAGGATGAGAGGATAGCCAAGGGTTAAATGGAATGACCAATTCTAGAGCTGGCAAAAGCATAGGTGAAGGTTTCAGCTGAAGTGGAGTGAAACTTGCACAAAGGTGGAGTTGGGCAGCTTTAGTGAAGGTGTGACTGTGGTTAGAAATTCAGTGTTTGAAAACCTTTGAGGATCAAAATGCTTCCCAATTTTTACCTGCAGAATTTCTGTTTGCCTAACACTCCAGGTTGGAAAACCTGGATAAGGTGGTGGTGCTTTACAGCACTTTACCATTGAGGCTTTCCACATGATAAAGTTTTTGAATGATGTCCCTGAGGAGCTGCTTGTAGCTGTAGGCTCCTTTTGAGGACATGAGGTCAGGGTATGGCAATAGAAACTGCTTACAGGGGTGTTCTCCATCCTTAAAGACAGAAGCAGGCAAAGGCTGTCCCATCCAATGGTGCAGGGAAACTTTCTTTGAAGCAGTTGCTGTTCAGTCTTGTCAAAGACTACGGTCGGATTGAGGAAAAACAAGGCTGTTTCTTGTTTTTCTTAGAACTATAAAGGTTCTCATCTGTGATCTGTCTTGGTCCAATGGTAGAAACATGATCATTGGAATTCAAAAATGGAGAGGAAGGATGTGTGGGATGGTGGTGGCAGAGAGGAAAATGACATCACTAAAGAATTAAGGAAATTGGGGGTGGGGAGAGGAAGAGTAGTAGTTTAAGGTTAGATGGTCACATGATTTGATGTGTATTAACAACGTTTTGGATATTCATCTGAATTGTGCCTGCCCTTTCACTGCAATGTATTATGCACTTGTATGAAGATATGCACTTGTATGAGGGTGTTCTAAACTGACTGGGGCAAGATGAAGTGCAGGAAGAGGTGATAGCTGAGTTCAAAACTTTGCAATTCACAACTTGAATCCAGGTAAACATTCATTAATCAACATTTAAATTTTTTTTTAAATTTGGCAGGTTATATTTGTGAAAGCTGAAAATGGAATATGCAAAGAAATCTCTCAGCTTCTTATCTCCCAGTTCCATATCCAGGTAAGATCATCACCAATACTCTTTAAACATAGGTAGAAAAGCAGTCTCTTTGGAGAGACTTGCAATCTGACTTGTGGGGAGTATTTGTGACTCTCTAATTTTGTGGAACCAACAAGCAGCTTGGGAAACAATACTATATTTTAAATATTTGTAAAAGAGATTGTATTACTGACCTACCAAGATGGTGCCTGCATAGACTTTAAAGTATTTCCAATGTCACTGCTGAACAAGACACCCATGTCAAACTTTCATGTGTACATGCTGACAGTGAGCATAAGCTGTAATGTTAAGCCAACATAATCTTCCTACAGTATAGGGAGGTGTTGTGCTTCACTGGGGTAGTGCATTGGCAATCAAGCTCTATTGTTCTTGGCGTGATCACATGTAAATATTTCATAAGTTCAATACTTATTAAGATTTTATAAAACTCCCCAATTTGCCTGATTTTCAGACACTAGTTCACAGTACAGGCCAAGTTTCTGCTCTTAAAGACTAATTTATTATAAGGAAATAGGTTCTAGCTTCAGGTAAACAATTATTCATTGTCATCTAAACTGTTTAGAATCCTAACCACCTAAAAATTACCCTTAAATACAGTTTCTGTTCACAGGATCTGCTGAGATGGTTCTTGTGCTGAACAGAACACTGTTTCTCAGTGTTCCTTCTCCTTTGCAGAAGGAACAAGGTGGCTAGCTCACTTCAGTCTCTGGCTTGTTAATTTAAAGTCTGCTTTCAACAACTGAAGGGAAGATTAAAACTAGCTTTCTTCATGCTTAAAATCTCTTCTGCTGCAGAGACCAGACAAGTTCCTAAGCTGGTGACGATCTGATGGCTTCAGTCTATTCAGACACCTGATAAATGATTGCTTAGTCCACAGACTAATCAGCGCCTTGTTGAATCTCTACTTGTCCATCCTCTTCTCTCCAGTCTGTCTGCACCTTCTCCTGTTTGAACCGGCAGCTGTGTAAACAGTGCTCAAATGTATTTCCGGTTACTTTTAAAAACTCACTGTAATCCTTCAGCAATACTTGGTATTTCAAACTATTTTCTCACTTCAGTTCACAATCAAAAACAATGAAAACGCTGTCTAGTGGCATTATCATTGGACTGTTAATCCAGAAACCCAGGTAACATTCTGGGGACCCAGGTTCAAATGCCACCATGGCAGATAGTGGAATTTGAATTCAGTAAATTTCTGGAATTAAGAATCTAATGATGGCCATGAACCCATTGTAGATTGTTGGAAAACCCATCTGTTTCACTAATGTCCTTTAGGGAAGGAAACTGCCATCCTTACCTGGTCTGGCCTACATGTGACTCCAGACCCACAGCAATGTGGTTGGCCCTGTACTGTCCTCAGGGCAATTAGGGATGAGCAATAAATGCTGCCTACCCAATGAGGCCCTCCTGTAAATGAATAAAGGTTGGGGTCAGGGCGGTGGGGGGAAGGGAAATCTCTTTATAGAAAGCAGTATGGAGCTGAAGGAATGAGGAGCAGGAAAGCTGATGTTTCAGATTGGGACCCTTCTTTTCTGAAGGGTCCTGACCGAAAACATCAGCTTTCCTGCTCCTCTGCTGCCTGGCCTGCTGGTTCCTCCAGCTCCATACTGTTATTGCTGACTCCAGCACCTTTCTTTATGGCAGTAGGCATAATCGATAAAAGGTGATGAAGTCATATATAACTTCTTCTCAAATAGGTGTGTTTCAGCTAGTGCATCAGCAACATCACAACTGTTGAACAGTACTCCACAGCAAAGACCGTTCCGGGTGTGCAACTGGGATCGGAGCCTCAAGAAGGGCATCATGGCTGCAGGTCTTCAGGATTTAATGGATAAGGTGAATATTGGCTTGTTAATCCATCTTTGAAGTTTGTTTTTGGTGTGGGCTGGCAGTAGTCATTGAGGTGCCAACTGCCTGAGCAAGTCCCAATTCTTTAGTTCACATTTTCTTTTCTGATCCCTGTATGCATCCACCAAAGTGGATGTAATTTATTTTGTTATACCAACTTCTTAGCTGGTTGTTTGTGCCACTGGAAACTAGTCTTGGTCCTTTTTTGTCCAATCTGGAAGTAAATTGGTTTTAAAAAAACCCAACATGTAACAAATTTTAAGCACTTTTAAGGTGAAAATTGTGTATTTTTGTTCTTTTGTTCAACTAGTGAACTGAATAGGGGATGTTTCCTACAGTTTGTTTTGCCTTGGAGTAGTGCTGGCAATGTCAAACTTATTACAAATGTCTAATTTGTCAAACAAAAAAAGTTGACTGAGTTGCCCCACAGCTGTGGTGAAAGTGTTCCTGGATGTATGTAAGCTGAGGAATTCTGCAATTTTGATATGTAGCAATAGATGGTGTTTAATGCTGATAAACATTGCCATTGTGTGGCAATGTTTATACATACTCCACTTGGATGTGGTACAGAACAGTGGCAAGAGAGTTCATCAAACCTTTATCCTGATGGGAATAAACTGGCTGTGGTACAACCCCCATGTATCAAGGTTAGTATTCCAGTTAATGTTTGGTTAATGGTTCTCCCTTCCTAACTCCCCTGTCCCAAATCAATGTGGATGTTGGGGGACTCCATGGTACTGCCAAAATTCTAATTGTAGTAGGCCCCATTCTTGGTCATTGGCCCATCAGGTACATGTTATCTGCCACTTGCAAGTCTACATATTGTCTAGGTTCTGCTCTAAACTGGGATTGTCTCTAATTGAATGGAGCTGAAGTAGTGCCACAGTGATTAGACACTTCAATCTTGAGGGATTGAAGGTTCTTTAAAATAACTGCAAATATTTTGATCCCTGAGCACTAGATTCTGCCAGCCTTTAACATCTTCCTCACTGTTTGTTTGACTCCAGCTACTCGAGTATTTTCTACCAATGAGACTGCTTAGTGGCATATTTGGATAAATATTACCATAATGTCCAATAGTAGCACTAATTTCTCATACTTTCCAGACATGAAAATAGATGTTTTGAAGTGGCTCTGGCCAAATCTATTTCTTGGCAAACAGGTGTCATGTGATAATTTGTTCTGCTTCTTTGAGAGGTCTGAGGTGGAAACTGTCCAGATTAAATTTGTCTTGCTTTTTGCGGTTAGGCTGACCCGGACACTTTCTTGGTCTGGCAGAATACATTACAACTGCACTACAGGCCACCAATGTGATGACAACATGAACAATTTTTTGGCAGTAAGTGGTTAGAATCTGGAATAAACTGGCTGAGTGTTGAATGTGGGTTTAGTTGAGGTATTTGAGGGAGTTGTATGAGAATCTTTGGAGGGGTGGTGTGGACTTGTTGGGCCAAATGGCCTGTTTCCACACTAGGGATTCTATGAAACAGAACTGCCCTACCCTCATCAATCCTCTTTTTACCTCTTTGGAAAAACTCAGATTTGTCTGACATGACTTCCCATGCACAAATCCATGCTGACTATCGCTGATCAGACCTTGTCTATCCAAATGTTGGTTGATCCTGTCCCTCAGTATCTTCTATAGCTTGCCGAGCACTGTCAGGCTCACTGGCCTGTAGTTCCCTGCCTTGTCTTTGCTACACTTATTAAACAATGGAACAACATTAGCCACCTTCCAGTCATCTGGAACTTCCAGTTGCTCAAGATGAAGCAAAAATCTCCAAGGGCCTCTGCAGTTTCTTCCCTAGGGTCCCACAACATCCAGCAGACTTGATCAGGCCCAGGGGATTTATCCCCCTTAATGTGCTTTAAGCCTGTATACACCTCCACTCTGGTAATGTGTATGCGGTCCAAAACATCCCCACTTGTTGCCCTTATTTCTTTAGCATCCATGATTCTCTTCTCTGAAAACTGAGGAGAAATAATCATTAAAAATCTCCGCTGTCTCCTGTGGTTTCACACGTAGATGGCCATGCTGATCTTTAAGGGGGCCTATCTCTCCCTAGCCACTCTTTTACTCTTAAATTGCAAAAAAGTTCTATAGCTGTATTATTTTTAAACCTTATCTGCCAGATCCATTTCATTCCCTCTTGTTCCCCTTTTTAGCCCTCCTGATTTCCTTTTTCAGTAAACTCCTGTATCCCCTACATACCTTCAGAGATTCCTTTGATCCCAGCTGTCTGTTCCTGAGCCATGCCTCCTTCCTTTTTCTGGTCAAAGCCATCCATATCATGTCATCCAGGGTTCCCTACTTCTGCCAACCTTGCCTTTCATCTTGAAGGAACATATAGTCCTGAAGTCTAGCTGTTACACTCTTAAAGGCCTCCCACTTGCCAGAGGTCCCTCTGCCTGCAAACAAACTACACCAATCAATCCCTGCAAGCTCCTGTCTAATTCCGTCAAAGTTTGCTTTGCCCTAATTTAGAACTTGAACCTGCAGATCCAGAAAAGATCCCAATGATCCAGGAATCTAAATCCCTGCCCCTGCACCAATTCTTTTCTTTTAGCCACACATTCATCTGACATATCCTCCTGTTCTTGCCATCACTAGCACATGGCACTAGAAGTAATCCAGAGATTACCACCAATGTCCTGATTTTTTTAACACTTTTTCCGAGCCCACTATAATCACCACACAGGACTTTGTCCCTATTTCTACCTATGTCATCTGTGCCAACATGCACAATGACTTCTGGCTGCTCACCCTCCCCTTGAACATTCTGCAGCCACTGAGAGCCTGGACCCTGGCACCTGGGAAGTAACACACCATCCTAGATTCCCACGTGCAGCCACAGAATCTCCTGTCTGTCCCCCCCCCCCCCCCCACTAACTAGAGTCTCCTAAGGTTCTGTTTACCTTTTACCCTTTCCTGCTGTGCACCAGGGCCAGTCGTTGTGCCACTCACCTGGTGACTGCTGCTTTCCCCTGAACAGTCACCTCTTCCCCCCCCCCCCCACCCCACCCCCAACAGTATCCAAAACATTATACCTGTTTGAGGGGAATGGCCACAAGGGATCCCTGCACTCTCTGCCTACTCTATTTGCCTTTCCTGGTGGTCACCCATCTATTCTCTGCCTGCACCTTACGTGTGACCACCTCTCAAACTCTAATCTATGATGGGCTCAGCATTTCGGATGGTTCTGAATGCATCCAGCTCCCAAACACTGTCTCCCAGGAGCTGCAGCTGGGTGCACTTCCCACAGGTGTAGTCATCAGGGACAATGGCAGTCTCCCTGAGCTCCCACATCCTGCAGTAGGAGCATGCCACTTCCCTGACTACCATCTCAAAAGCTAAGACTAAAGAGAAGGTAAAAAGACTTTACCTGAGTTTACCTGTAACTTTTGCTGAACCACTGCTCGCCAATGCCTTACTTCTCACTCTGCTACCAACAAACTTTCAATAGCACAACCCTCTTCCTGCTTAGTGTTGTTTTGTTTAGTCAAGGGAGGGAAGAAAACACTAGTGATATAAGGTTTTGAGGCTTAAGTACTCCTTGATATCAGGCCCATGACAATCTGCTCCTCAATGCAGGTGACTGCTTCCAGGCTCTAATATATGCATCAAAGTGATGCCTCTCCCCCTCGGTTGCCCTCTGCTGGAAGGTACTCACTCATTTCAGAAGTTCAATTGCCTAAATGGCCTTGCTGTAACTAGTGTGTTAAGTTTCTAGAGCTGGAGTAGGACTGACCTTCATTTAAATCAATTGCATCTGTCACCAAGTGAGGCAAATTGGTGCCCATAGAATCTTGACAGGAAGCAAAGTAGCATTGCCCAAATGTGGAATAAAACTACACAGCACATCTGTTACAAACATAACTAGTGATCCCCAAAGTTAACTTTTTTTGCATGGTTTCTTTTGAATACTGATGTAAAAGTTTGTTTTAGTGATTTCCAAAACAACGATGGTGTGAACTTTTCATGACAATTACCTTTGATCCAAAAGGCAATTGTTTTATCTGAATTTGATGTACAAACAAGTCAAATTACAGTAAACTGTCATCTTGGGAGGAGAGATTTCTCTTTTGGTCTCTGAATATCAGGATAGTAATTTCACCTTTCAAAGCTGAAGCTAATCTTGTGTGGACTAAACATTCTTATTACTTGTTGAAATAATGCTAGATTCCTTAAAGTACTCCCAAGAGTAGTCATGACCAAGCCTGTTTCTTTTGGGCATTTTTTTCTGCCACCTTTCCTGTTCTTGTCACTGCTATCCAAAACAATCTTGCTCCTGTGTTACAGGTTCAAGAATCATTACATACAACATCCAGTGCCTCTCTGCTACTGGAAGAGGATGGGACATGCGTTGAGACAGAAGAATTCTTTCAGACAGTACTTGATAATACACTGTTCATGGTGCTTGAGAAAGGACAGAAATGGACACCATCAGAGGTGAAGACTGCATTAGTGTTTCTTTGGGGGAATATGTTTACATTCTGTAATCTTAAAGATGTGCTTCTATCAATTACTCCTGCAACATGTTACTGCTTTAGTCTTCCACAAAGCACAGCTCTAGTCTAAACTGGTCTTGCACATGAATGTTCTTCCATAATCTGCCCCAGCTTTGTCTTGGCTGGAACTGGAGAATGTTTGTTTGTACAAACAACTGTTTGCAAAATATTTGGTACCAGTCCGTAAGCAAGCAGTTGCGATTCTACAAGCTTGTTATCCTGGAGCTTCCTTTTTCTTAACTTGCTGAGAATTACAATTTTGTTTTAAAACAGAACAGTGGCTTTCATCTTGGATTCACTGATAAATTGCGCAGAAGAAAAGATGTTGCCAGAATAACCTTTGACCTCTATAAAGAAAATCCTCAGGATTTTATTGGCTGCCTGAGTATGAAAGCGACGCTGTATGGATCATACTCTGTATCATATGATGTCCAATGTGTAGGAGCAAAAAAAATAATGAGGTAAGAAAATTCCAAACCCAGTCACTTGGTGAAATAAGTATTTTGTGGCACAAGCCTTTAATTACCTAAAAGTAGAAAAACATTGGTAATGGGATTGCTGGTGTTACCAACATCTTGAGATTGCAATGATAACTGACCTGGTCACTCTGCTTCCTGCTTCTCCTCTTCCCTGTCCTTTTTGTCCTAATATTGTAAAGGAATTGCTGTTTATTTCACTCCACTGCACCCCCACTGGCAACATTCCCTTGTTTCCTTGTTGGAACTGTTGATGTCTAGCTTTAGAAAGATTACTGAACCAGTGCATTCAAACACAATATATTCCTGTAATATACAGATTTACATGACCTGGTCTTGCAATGCTACAGGTAGTTATTATTCCCCCTTGGGTTGTAATATGTCTTTTTTAACATTATCAGAAGGGCTTCTTTCTTTGTCCCAGATATTAACTATAACAAAGACTACCTTCAACATTTTGCCCTCCCTTCCATGTCCCCAAAAAACTCTCTCTCTCCAAGGAAGAGATCAGTCTCTGCAATAAACAATCTTATACTGATCACAATTTCAACCTGCACTTGAACTTTGCAGTGCTCCTACTTCATCTTTCCCTTGTCCCTCCATTTTATTACATATTGGGTTTGGCACTTACACTATTAGAAATTTCTCAAATCCCTCTACAATTTTATTTCCCTCTCCCTTCTGCCATCCTTTTTTAATGGTAAAAATCATTCTTTCCTTGCTTCCTTCACACTTTTTTTTTGCCTGGTTAAGTGATTCCTTTGCTTTTTTTTTAATGCCACTTTGATCTCTTATCACAGTGATCCTGTAATGAAATCTCCACATTTTGCTGCTTTGGTTAATCAAGTTATCAGATTAATGTTTCTCAATCATAATTGCTTAACTCCTATCATACCAGAAACAACAAATTTAAATAGTAACACAGCTGAGATGAATGGCCTGTTTTTGCTGTACATTTGTGACTAAAGTTGCAACTTCTGTTACTAACACTACCTACCTATTCCCCACATCTACAGTCCATAAATCCTAGGGGAAACTTTCTCAACTCTAATCAAGCACTAACTTGTGGGCTCTATGCTATAAAAGCATCTTTTTTGTTTAATTACTGAATGCAGCAAATGGAGACTTAATGTAAGAATTACTGTGGAAACCATTATTTGAACTTTATTTAATTCTACCTATTTTCTAATGCTTTAATTTTTTTCTCCCCTTTTCCCTATTTAGGGAAGCCTTGCGTTTGACGATGTTCACAATGCAAGCTACAGGTCATGTGCTTCTTGGGACTTCATACTATATGCAGCACCTGCTGGATGAGGATGAAACACAGGCAGCAGTCAAACCTCTCTGTGCACTTGAATGAACTGTTTGCCCTACCTAACTTTTTTCCTGCCAATGAACTTTAACCAGAGAGCTCATGTTTGCTATAGTTCTGTAGCAACAGCATGAAATCTCCCTGAAAGTATGTCACTGCAATGTGTTTATGGTCAATTTTTGTTCAAGAGTATATAATCAGACCATCTGGATTGATATGGTATGAAGTAAAAAAGTGTAAATTACATGCATCTACTACTTTCAGGGTGTTCTACTCAAATGAACTTGAATGCATCTGCTTTATTGCACCAATCCTGAACAAGAAGCTATACTAGTGCAGGATAACACTAATTAGAAGTCAGCTCAGGTGTTGTGGAATAATTGCAGCCTGCAGTATTGCAATTAATCTTCCAAGAAAGCTACTCACTTTCTGCAAAACAGACCCAGCCTAATATGTGCCCACTCTCTACATTGCCTACATCCAAGTAAAAGTAAACTTGTGCTATTTAAGTGATTAAATGACTTGAGGATAGTCGGGAAAACAGCACATCACCAGTAAAGTCTGCAGACCGTATTAGTTTTGTTCCTCCTTCCCTGTCCCCACCCTCATTTTAACCTCCAGTGGCAATAATTCAGCCACATGCTAAAACAATGACTAAATGACAACCTAACCTATTTTGACTGCAAAATGTGGATATTAACCCACTGACAGACTACTATTTTCCCCATATGTCCTCTGGGTTTTATTATTCAGTTTCCTGTTGAGTGTCTTTTTTATCGGCCAGCAACATCAGGGATCTGCCTTGCTTTGAGGGAAGTGATGTTATAAACAGATACAACTGGAAAAATGGAACTTGTTTAAATGTGGCTGATGTCATTATGCACTATAATTAAAATGAAAAACTTGCAACTGAACTCCAGTTCTCTTGCAATCCATGTTACCTAAGCACTAAAGTAAATGTATAAAATTGATTTCAGTTGAATGAAAATGGTTGTAATTGCAAGATATTTATTAAAACAAATCTTGACTATATTGTGACTTGCTGAAAACAACTACATAACTGGTATCCTGAGTTTTTTATATAGCTGCAGCTTGATTCCAATGTGCTTCATGTTTGATCTCCCAAGGTTTGGGTTTTCCATTGCATTATAACTCTAGGTTTTTGGGAAACTGGCAGCAGTCAAAGTCATCAACTTGGTGCCATATCCCTTCATCTGGAAAGACCTTGCTCAACACCAACAGCCCATGCTAGGATGTGCAGAAAATAAACCGCCAACTTCAGTAGGCAATCCTAGAAATGCAGCATGTGACACTTCTTAATCATGATCTCATTTGAATGAGAACTCTGGACTTGAGTTATTTATAAACTAACTCAGAATTACTTGGTTTGAAATTTAGCACTGAATTCCCAAATGTAAACAGCAAAATCTTACCTTATTTCTAGCACTGATTTTGATTTGTTGATCTATGCCAAGTTTTGGGTTCTAGTTTTATAAGCATTGCATCATTGTTTTAAAGGTTTTCAGTTCGTTTAAAATGGAAAAACCCACAATCTGAACTTCCATTTAGTGTTTCACTAAGCAAGCACACTGGTTACCAGGATGGGGCATGTTAAAGGCATATGATTTGGCAATGCCTGGGTGACTGCACTCTTACTATGGTGCTCCCAGGTGTTTGTAGCTTTGCTCCTGTCATGGGAGGGAATTGATCAAGAAAATGGCAAGTAGGTTTGTTCTTCCTGCTTAGAAAGCATTGAAGTAAAGTTATATAACTAATTTATTTCTCATTGCCCAGCATTTGAGACAAATGTCAGCAAGTTCATTTCTAAAGTAAAACTACTGGAGAAACCCAGTAGGTTTGGCAGCATTGTGCAGAGAAAGCAGAGTGCTGTCCACAGCTGCTGCCAGACCTCCTGGGTTTCTCCAGTAGTTCTGGCTTTTCCCTTTTTGAGCTCATGTCCATTGTGCTTTGGCAAAAGGAGCCCTAAATTGACAGTATTGGACATGGTAGATTTATTAGCAGCCTTTTAGTAGCAGAGGACAGTGAGAAGCACAGCTGAAGTTTGAGGTTGTTGACTTGCTCACTGTCACCCTGCTAGGTAACATCAATGTCTGCAAACACTGGCTCAATGTCCTTCCAGTGACATTTTGGTGTTCTGACCTACTTGTTATTTTATATGCCTTAGTTTGCTCATGCGGTTCTGTTTTTTCAGTGGTTTGAACTGGACTCAAAATATACAATGTGTTTGTTGATGAAATTCCAGCTGGAATGCCAGGCCTCTGGGAATTCCCAGGTATGTCTGTTTGGCTCATGCTATTATGGATATGTTGCCCCAGTCAAACTTATGTTTTTCTTTGTCCTTGTATATTCAGACCAGTGAGAATTGGTTGTTTCTTGTTGGCTAGTTGATGTTTGTGTATCCTCTTGAAGAAAACTGACAATAAGGATCAGGTGAATTGCATTCATTTCTTCCAAACTAGCTGAAAAATAGAAAGGCTTCAAAAATAAGTGTCCAGAGACAAGATGTTCCTGTTAGGAAACATCATCTGCTATTACAAATTTTTGAACCAGCACTTCTAGTTGGATTTTACTACAAAATAAACTTCACAGAAGCTGTGAATCTTCTCTAAGCCAGAGTACTGGCATGAACTATATGGAACACATTTCTTCATTTCTCCTCTTCCTTACATCTGCTTCAGGAAACTCATTAACTCTTAAGCCTAAGAGGTCAAGAGTCCTAAGGAAGTAAGCTGGAGGAGTAGCCACAATCACTGTTGCTGATTTCTTCATTTCAAATGGTGGAATTGAAAGTTTGTGCAAGTGAAGGTGAAGAGGCATTTTCCACATCTGTTTCTGGTCAAAACGCAGCTTCTGCAGCAAGGATTCATCCAAGACCTAATAAGTTAAGCAAAAAGTTACCGTGGGTTTCAAAATCTACTGCCATCAGGACACACAAGACAAAATCAACTTCAAGTTAAGGCTTGGCTATGTCAATGAAATTAAATGCCTAACATACCCTGGTCAGCATAAGGAATGACCATTCCAATGTAAGTCTGGAAATATACTGATTCAATGATTATCTCTGAGGCTGGAGCAATACCTGCACAGTTCATTTAACACAGAGATTTGCAAAGAAGAAATGAGACACATAGTAATAGATTTTAAGATGACATGGACAAACTAGTGAAATGACATACAAATAAAGTGTAACATAGAGCAATATGAAGTAATACATTTTTATGGGAAGAACAGGGTGCTGAAGAGCAATGGATAATCATGCAGCAGTTAAAATCACAATGCTTGTGAGGCCAGAATTAAAGGAGTACTGATACTTTGGACAGTAGTGGGGCTGGAGGAGACAGGGGAGGGTTGTAGCACAGAAGGCTTTGAAAACAAGGATGCAAAAACTCTCAAATCCTTCACCAAGCACTAATAATACCCCAGCCAGTAAAATCCACTTTACTCCTGTTCATCCTTATTAACAATATCCCATTCCCTTTCGGCATGCTATTTTTATAATTCTACTCTACCTGAATTCGAGGAATTGCTGATTCCGCTGGGAGACAGAAGGGAATTCCCAGAACCTTGCCGAGCCGGGAAGAATACACATGATCCCCAAGAACTGCAGACAGTTTGACAGTGAGGTGGACCTGTAGGAGGCTTTCAAAGGCTGATGCAGGAGGAAAGTGAACAAACATTGGAAAATTGTCAATCTAGGATATAACCATCTGACAGCACTTTAATTAAAATTAACCCAGAGTGCACTGACTCACTTGAGAGAGGATGAAGCTCTACTAATGCACAGCCATCTACAGCAGTGAGAACCTTGTACATTGTTACAGCCTTCTTTGCTTCCTTCCGCTGAAAGTTTCCAGGCGTGGGATGAAAAATTGGAACTACCTATTAGTGTAATAAAGCATGATGAAACTAGCATCATTCCAAGTTTAAAAGGCCATACAGGCAGTGAATATACAGATCCATATATGGTCCCCTGAACCACACTTACATCACATGACTTGCTAGAATTTGTCATTCTCATTATTTCTAGAAGAGAAATGTAGTTTGCATTATCAAAGACAAAAGGCCATTAATTTGTTCCCTTTCTATTTTTCTCAGACTCCTTCCACAAAAGAATGCAGACCATTTCAAATGACTTTATTCTGTTAAGATTAGCAGTTAAGAAAAGTTTTGATTTAAATTTTCCTCCCTCTTCCTAGGGAACTTTCTCAACACTTAACTGATCTCCTCCAACAGCACAGTCAAATTCAGGATCTCCTAACAGACAGTCATGTGAGGTAATCCACATGTTGTACATGAACAATACAATGTTATCTGTTTTTGATTTTCCAATTAATTGTCTCCAGCAAGTCATGCTCATTCTGACGGGGAAAGTGGAAGGAGATATATCAAATAGAATAATTACCAGCTCATGCTCGCCAATGTTCTGCTTTTTCAGAGCAACATTGATTCCTCCCTCTGCAGGTTCTGGGATGCCCACTGTCACTGCACTGTTAGAGAAAAAGTACAATAAATGCAAGAAATAAGGAGAGACATACAGAACCCTGGATTGATAGTGTGATTCTCACCACCGTCATGTGCCATAAATTTATAATTTAAATTCATTGAACTTGATTCTGTAAGATAGAATAAATGTATACATAAATAAAGTAAAAATTAAACAATGAAAGAACTTTAGCAATTATTGACATCACATCCCCTGGGCATTTTCAAATAATGTACATCCAGTGAAATACTTCTTAAATACTGTTGTTATGCAGACAAGTTAAAAGATGTCAGAAATAATTATGTGTTGAAAGCCAAGAAATAGAAGGGGATTAGTTCATTTTTTACACCTTCACTATCACCGCCTTTTCATAACAAGTTTAACAACTTTTTCTATTCTGCATTCTAGTCATTGATGCACGCCCTGTTATTCTGCTTCCTGGGCATTCTCAAAGTTTTGCAATACCTCTTGGCTACATTGTAATACCTCCCCTGCTGCATCGCCAATCACCCTTATACATATCCACTCACATTCATATCCTGCCATCACTTCTCAGCAATACTCGCACGTCTGTTATGCCATAGATCTGGCAGCTGGCCACAACATCAGCATTTATACATTTAATACACTGATTTAAAAAAAATGATAAAACTATCTTTGAAACAAAAAAGTAAGTCACATTTGAAAGCATAGCAGAAGTCATTTAAATAGTTTCAAACAAATGACTTGACTGGAGTGCTACTCCCAAATCAAATTCAGCTGGAGACTGTCCTGTGCCCACTAATATTCAGTTTGCAGTAGCCCTGCCCTGAGCTCATCAATAGTCAAAGAGTAGCTGCCCATTTATTCACAGGGCTCAGTAATGTTCAGCCACTAACAGCTGCAATATTGATACCCGAAAGGAGCAAAGCTCATGTGAAAATTCAAGGCAAAAGTCTGTGCATAATGCCCATTTCTGGATATATCTATATGTCAACTCCATTTTATTTATTCAGTAGTTAAAAGGTAGTACAATTTTGTTTCTATTAAACTGTTACTGGGAATTTGTTTCATTGATTAATAACTGTGAGAAGTACCCCAGGTTAGCACATATAAACTTTTATCATTTAGTTATTTCTGCTTTGTATGGTAATTCAAACATTACCAATAACTGGTGAGTGCTTCCTTCCTTCTCCGAGCTTGGACGAAGGCATCCTCAATGTATTTGGTGGTTTGGTGACAGGTGGAAAGCAGAACCAGGCCAGAACAGTCCCTGTGAAGAAACAGCACAACAGTCAATGTTTTAGAGGGGGTTATCAGTCACACTTTGAGTTACTCACATGCATATATAAACAGATTACATAGCTGTACTGTATGTGAGACTTGTATAAGTGACGGCTTTATATTTACATGTTTATAATGATAGTGCTCTAAATGAGAGAACTGGTAATACTTTGAATTATGAGGATCGTCTGGAGTCATGCATCTACATTTGTATTGTGAAAGTGGACTTGGAGCTAACCCCTTTGTTATTACTGACATCTCTCTACACATTCTGCTGCAAATCGGTATTTTTCACATCATTACACTTGCATTCGCCTTGCATTGCTCCCCTAAGTATAGCTGGGCTGGCTTGTGCTCTGGTGCCCTAGAAGTCCAGCACTACTTCCAGCATGCCACTTTGGTTTGGCATGTACGTCAAAGCTACTCCATCACACAAGTACTCCAGCTCTATGTTTATCTGTGTCATGCTAGCCAAAATTGTCATAAATGTGTATCTATGCGTGTACTCAGATTCTATTTGTGGACTTACGCTACTCCAACATGCATTTAATCCTGTATCTATACTGTTGTGGCATAAATATTTCCTACACAAAAATCAAATCCATTATGCTTTGTTCCTACATGTTCCCCCAAATTACATTCAGATCCAGTATACACTCCTAGTCTCACAGCTCTTACAGAGGAGAACTGGCAGATTCCCACAGTTAAATCATTTACCTGTTACTTGCTTTTACAATGTGGAGTTCTTTTGAAAGATGCAATCGCTGCTGAAGTTCTGGAAGCAGCGAGGTAAAGGAGAGTTCTTTACCTGTTAAGGGAAAAATAAAGCAATGATTCTCATTCAGTCAGTCGTAATCAAGCTGCTTTTGCGGTTTGATTGGAGTTGGCATGGTGCTAATATCTCATCTTACACCTCTGGTCCCGTTCTTCTCTTTCTACCCTGACTATTCATTTAAGGAAATGGGGGAACTCGCTGAGCTACAGGTACAAATTTGAGCGCCAGGATTCACAAAGACTATAATTATAAACTGAAAGAAATTCAAGAGGTTTCTGTATGGTGCCCTCAAGAGGAGTTCATCTAGGTTCCTGGTTTTGTGCCTACACTGTGAGGGAGAAGAATGATTCCAGTTTATATGCAGTGCCTCTGTGGCAGAATTCTGACAGTTCCAATTTCTTTAGGGATCCAATTAGAAAAGCCCTTTGAATTTTCTACACAAGGGTTTCCAGCTCTTCTTAAAACAAAAGCATTTTTCCCCCCAAGTAAATTTCACTGTATTTATACCAATATCTTCACAAAATTTCATTGAGCTTTTAATAAAATTTGTGATTGTTTTGAGCAACTTGAATAATAAACTACTAAAGCTAATAATTATCCAATCAAACTAGTGAAACCAATTGTAAAATAGAGAAAAAAGAAACATAATCTGGATATTTTGGCTCTAAATGTCATTTCTGTCGCAGCACAGATGTGTGCTGTGTGCAAAATCACTGTGCATTGAGTGTCTGTTTGAATGTAATCAAAAGATTGTGGGTCCTAGCAAGCTGAGGGAGGGCAGCTCGTAATGATCTGCTTGAAAATAAAGTGGGGTTTTAAATATCTCTTTCCTACTAGTCAATTTCTCCTCCTCCCTCTTTCTCCTGAAGGCATAAATGTCTTTCCAGTGTTCCACAGTACCAGGGCAACCTACCGTACTCCTTTCACTAAATGTCTGTTATTCATGTGTGACAGTCAGTGTTAAACAGACAAATCACTTCTGAGGCTGACCCTGTCCTTACCTAATGAATAAATATATACACTTTACATGTGCACCCTCCATGCATCAGTTTAATTGAACTTACCCCTTTATCATGGTCTCTACTGGCTAACATGGACCACTGTCTCAGTGAACTGCGCTACATGATTTTCATCAACCATTTGAACAGGCACTGAGCAGACTAATCATTCGAACTTACACGCTCTCACACAGTAAGTATTCATTGTCTGAACATTAATTATGCTGTCATCTTACCACATAATGTCCAACTTGGAGGAAAGTTGAATAGATATTTCCAGAAATATAGTGTCATTCTGGAACCAGCCACCAAAAGCTGCATAAGAAGAGTTGGGTAAAAGTCAAGTCTCAACTTAGTTGTTCCAACCCCCGTGACAAAGCACTGAGCCTCTATTCAGTGCCACTGTATGACAACAATTTTGAAATCAGAGCCTTATTGTGAAGATAACAGTGGATCTGAAAACGTGTCCTGCAGCTTTTAGAACGAACTGTGACACCTTACTGGAGTGTAATTCAATAATGATTTGAGAAAAGTGACAATTCACGAAAATGCATACTGTTACCTGTGATGGGAAGTCCTGATGGTTTATTGATACCAATCAAAGGATCTGGTAAAGAAGTTTAAAAGAAAGGTTAGAAATCAAATTTATTCTTAGAAACCAATTTATTCTGTTAATACGTTAAGAGAAATGTTATAAAGCAGGGATGTGCACGCAATGACACAGAAACTATTGTTTTCATTGCTTAACAAATCTGTTTACATGGAGCTAAAACCTTGACCTGAAATTGGTTGAAGTGAGTTATGACAGTCATGAAGGCTGCAAACTTCAAATGTTAATACATCCCAAGTTTCTTAAAATATGTCACATGACCAACAAAATGTGCATCAAACCAACATTTGACCCAATTGGTCTGAAACAGTGAAATCTCTTCAGTATTGACCGGTGTTCATGTAAATGTAACATGTTAACACTGCAATCACATTCACCACACAAAAATATATTATATAATTAACTCTTATTTCACATCGCCAATGTTCATAAGCTTAAGTTTTCCGGTAAGGAATTGGGTGGTAAATGTTTCCATGCTGCACTTTAACCGTTGGGGTTCTAATCAATGCCTCCAATCCCAGCAATTTTTTCCCTTTCTATTTATTATTATCATGTGGACATTGATGGCTAGACCAGCGTTCAATGCCCATCCCTAACCACCCTTGAGGATACAGTGGTAAGCTACCTGTCTATGTGGTGAAGTTACTACCACATTGCTGTCAGGCAGCATGTTCCACAATTTTGACCCAGAAACATTAAATCAATAGTGAGATTAGTTCAAAATCAGGAGCATGTGACTTGGATGGCAACTTGCAAGTGCTACTGTTCTTATACACCAGCCGGTTTTGTCCTTTTTAAATGCAAGTTGTCACAAGAATTGGAGGTGCTGTCAAGGAAACCTGTACAAGCAGGTTCAGTGTAACTTTTAGATGATACACTCTGCAGCTGCTGTGTGGCAGTGGTGCAGGGAGTGAATATTTAAGATAGTGGGCAGGGAGTGAATATTTAAGATAGTGGACAGGGAGACAGTCAAATGGGCTGCTTTAATATGGAAGTTTTTCAAGGAGTTGCACACATCCAGGCAAGTGGAGGGTATTGCAACGAACTCCTAATTTGTGCCTGCTAAGTGGTGGAAAGGCATTGATGAGTTAGGAAGTTATTCATTCGATATAGAATATCTGCCCTCTAAATTGTCATTGTGACACAGTATCTATGTGACTCGTCCTTTTAAGGTTTTGGTCAGGAAGGAAGCATAATCGGTGTGAGAAAGACATCACATGACTGAGGCAGGATGAGTGAATACAGCTGGGAATTTGGTTCAAAGTGAGAATTTGGTGTTTAGGTGGAAAGAAGTACTTTAAATGAGGTTTACTGCAAAAAGTAACTAAATTGGGAGTTTGATGATTTGATTGAAAGTTATAAAATCCTAAATGGTCTTGACAGAGCAGAAGTGGAAATGATGTTTACTCGTGTATGTCAGTCCAGAACTAGGGGACACCTTTAAAAGGTAGTGTCTGCTGATACCGGCGACTGTGGAAAACTGCATATGCACACAATTCCAGGCTCAACACATTATCTCTTCAAATTTACATATCACATCACGCACAAAGCTGTTTTTGAAATGGGGCTCAGTAGTGTGGTGGGGAATGAAAGGGAGGATCCCAGGTCCCATTTCCACCCGCTTCTCCCAGATTTCATTCCCCTTTCCTTCTCCTGGGTCCTGTCCACCCACTCTCCAGGTCGTATTCTTCCCTCCCTCCACCTCTTGGGACTCACCTTCCTCTCCCATCTCAGGTCCCAAGTGCAAATTTAAATGGAAACATAATGCACGAGCACTGGTGTCAGAAAACACAGCCATTCTAAAACTAGGGGGGTTGCCCTTTTAGTGAAGAGATTAGAGTAATACTTTCCTCTCAGAGGGTTATGTGACTTCGGAACTGAATGTCTCGGAAACGGTGGAGGCGGGATCATTTAAAGCAGAGATAGATTCTTGTTAGGCAAGGGAATTGAAGTTTGTCAAGGAAAGATGGGAATGTAAAATTCAGAACAGAAATGGAACAGCATAATGTTATTGAATGGTGGAATAGGCCTGAAGATCCAAATGGCAAATGAAAAATTGTCCGACATTGCTAGAGGGATGGAGTTTAAAAGCAGGGAGGTTATGCTGCAGCTGTGTAGGGTGCTGGTGAGGCCAAACCTGGAGTACTGTGTACAATTTTGGTCTCCTTACTTGAAAAAAGGATGTACTGGCACTGGAGGGGTGCAGGGGAGGTTCACTCGTTTGATTTCAGAGTTGAGAGGGTTAACTTAAGAGGAGAGATTGAGTAGACTGGGACGATACTCATTGGAATCTAGAAGAATGAGGGGGGATCTTATAGAAATATATAAAATTATGAAGGGAATAGGTAAGATAGAAGCAGGGAGGTTGTTTCCATTGGCAAGTGAAACTAGAACTGGGGGGCATTGCCTCAAAATAAGTGGGAGCAGATTTAGGACAGAGCTGAGGAGGAAGTTCTTCTCCCAAAGGGTTGTGAATCTATGAAATTCCCTGCCCAGTGAAGCAGTTGAGGCTACCTCGTTGAATGTTGTTAAGGCAAAGATAGATAGATTTTTGAACAGTAAAAGAATTAAGGGTTATGGTGAGCAGGAGGGTAAGTGGAGCTGAGTCCATGAAAAGATCAGCCATGATCTTATTGAAGGCGGAGCAGGCTCGAGGGGCCCGATGGCCTACTTCTGCTCCTGTTTCTTATGTTCTGCTCCTAATTTGTACTTTAACATGGTCAGAGGTGACACCCCAAATATGTTGATGGTGGGAGCTTCAGCAACAATAATGCTATTGCATGTCAAGGTGAGATAGTTAGATCCTGTCTCTCAACGGAGCTTCTCACTGAATAGCACTTAAAATCATACAGTACAAAAGAGGCCCAGCAAGTCTGTAATGTCAAAGTACACTATGACCTACATCAGTCCCACCTTCCCGCACTAGCTCAAATCTTATAACACTTCATGTGCTCATCCAAGTATGTTTTAATGGTTGTGAGGTTCCCTGCCTCCAATACTGTAACTCCCCCACTCCGGTGATCGAAAATGCCCTCAACCACATCTCTTACACACCTCTGCTCTCACATCCCCTCCCCCCAACAGAAATAAACACAGAATCCCCCGTGTCCTCACATATCACCCCATCAACCTCCGCATCCAGCACATCATTCTCCACCACTTCTGCCACCTACAATCTGACCCCTCAACCAAAGATATATTTCCCTATCTGCTTTTTGTAGGGACCGCTCTCCCTGCAACCCTCTCATCCACTCCACACTCCCCACTAACCCCACCACCTTTCCCTGCAACCGCAGGAAGTGCTACACCAGCCCCTATACCTCCCCCCCTCACCTCCATTTAAGGCACAAAACAAACCTTCCACATTAGTCAGGGGTTCACCTGCACATCCATCAACTTTGGCCTACTGCATCTGCTGCTCCCAATATGGCCTCCTCTAAATCAGTGAGACCAAGCGGAGGCTCACAGACCACTTTGTACAGCATCTGCGCTCTGTATGCAACAAATGACAAAACCTTCTGGTCGCGAACCATTTTAACTCTGCCTCCAACTCCCTGGGTGACATGTCAATCCTGGGCCTCCTCCAGTGTCACAATGACGCCACCCACAAACTGGAGGAGCAGCACCTCATATTCTGCCTCAGGAGCCTACAGACCGATGGCCTAAACATGGAATTCACCAGTTTTAAAATCTCCCATCCCCGGCCTCATCCCATGTCCAACCCTCCCTCTCATCCCCACCTCCTTGACCTGACACAACTTGTCCATCTTCCCTCCCATCTCACTGACCAATCCCCACCACTCCCTACCTGCACTCACCTATCACCATCCCACCTACCTTCCCCAGCCCCATCCCTCCTCTCTCTATTTATTTCTGAGCTCCCTTCCCCCCACCGCCCACCCACCATTTCTGAAGAAGGGTCCCAACCCGAAACGTCAACTTTCCTGCTCCTTTGATGCTGCCTGGCCTGCTGTCTTCCTCCAGCTCCACGCTGTGTTACCTCTGACCTAATCCTGTTTCTCTTCATTGACGAAATGCTCCAACCTAGGCAACATTCTGGTGAATCTCCTCTGCACCCGCTCCAGTGCAACTGCATCTCTTATACAGTGGGGTGACCAGAATTGCACATCGTACTCCATTGTGCTAACCAAAGTTCTGTACAGCTCCAAATGCCACAACCAATAAAGGCTATTAAAGACATTGCTGCTTAAGTCTTTATTAGGCCAATTGTACAGCTGCAAGGGGAGATGGTGGTTTCACAGTAATATCACTGACCCTAGTAATACTCTAAGGAAAGTAGTTCAAATCCCACCAAGACTGGTGGCAGAATTTATATTGAATTAGTAGAATCAAGAATTGAAAGCTAATTTCAGTAACGGTGACCATGAAACTTTTGCTGATAGCTGCAAAAATCCATCTGGTTAATTAACGCACTTTGGAGAAGGAAGTCTTGCCATCCTTACCTGGTCAGGCCAACATGTGACTCCAGACCTAGAGCGACATGGTTGACACTGAAAAAGCCTAGGAAGCCATTCAGTTTAAAGGCAGTTACGGATGGGCAAAAAATGCTGGCCATGCCAGTGATGCCCACACCCCATGAATGAATAAAACAAAGTAGCAATGATACTTTGCAAGCTATGCAGAGAGGCGTATTTATTAAGACAATTCAAAGCTATGCAAAGGAATGTTGATTATTATTAGTGCATGCCACAAGTGCTACTCCCAGCAGAAGGCACTGATTCCCCATTGAAGCAATGCTCCACATGCAACTTTCACTATCTGGCCCAAGTCTCCAAAACAAGTGTTGAAAGTGCCTGACAACATGGCATTTAACCAGAGATACAAAAGAGCCGAGATTACTAGGCACACCTTTGGGCACGTTATTTGTCTCTAGATACAGGTCCTAACCCATTTACAGCTGTATGGGATGCTTCACACGCCTTCGTTTAACCTAAAGAAAATGGAGTTGACTTTACTGAAATGGATACTCACTTTCCTGGTATACCACACTGGTAGCTAGCATTTCCAGAAGGTCTTCTCTGGTCAGCTTTTCAAGCACTGGGACACCTGGATCTTGAAGGATACTAACAACTTTGTCTTTTTTCAAATGCTGCCTATGTTTCTGTTTTTGCCTCTTGAGCCAGATGTCAGAGCTGAAGAAGAAATAGGGACATCGAATGAAAGATAAAACAATGGTTGTCTTCTAGATCCAGGAGCAGCTATTCCTCGGGTATTCCCAGCACCAGCTCTACCCATACTACCTTTGTCATTTTTGATCCTGCTCATCAATCTACTCACAACACTGCCTGTATTTATTTTCATCAGCTCCTATTTACATTATCCTCAACAGAAGAATGGCATGTTCACATATCACTTTTTGGGGAAGCTGCCAAGAACGAATTCCCATCCTCTCTTAAGAACCATTTTACAATGGCAAACTTCCTAATGACAGGTCCAACTACCCAATGTCACTTCAGGCAGGGTTTCAAACTTGGCTTTGTCATTGTGAGACAACTACTGACCAACGTAAGTTCCTACACTTTCACATTTCCACTGTTTAAGATGACTTCTGTGTAGATGCACTCAGAACATTAAGAACTAACAGCTAGGAACAGGAGTAGGCCATCTGGTCCCTCAAGCCTGCTCCACCATTCAGTAAGATCATGGCTGATCTTTTCATGGACTCAGCTCCACTTACCCGCCCGTTCACCATAGCCCTTAATTCCTTTATGGTTCAAAAATCTATCTTTGCCTTAAAGACATTCAACGAAGTAGCCTCAACTGCTTCGCTGGGCAGGGAATTCCAGAGATTCACAGCCCTTTGGGTGAAGAAGTTCCTCCTCAACTCAGTCCTAACTGCTCCCCCTTACTTTGAGGCTATGTCCCCTTGTTCTAGTTTCACCTGCCAGCAGAAACAACCTCCCTGCTTCTATCTTATCTATTCCCTTCATAATTTTATATATTTCTAAGAGATTCCCCCTTCATTCTTCTAAATTTCAATAAGTCTGGTCCCAGACTACTCAATGTCTCCTCAGAAGCTAACCCTCTCAACTCTGGAATAAACGTACTGAACTTCATCCGCACCCCGTGAATGATAGTACATCCTTTCTCAAGTAAGGAGACTAAAACTATACACCGTACCCCAGTGTGGCCTCACCAGCAACCAATACAGCTGCAACATAATCTCCCTGTTTTTAAACCCCATCCCTCTATCAATGACGGAAATATTCCATTTGTCTTCTTAATTACTTGCAAACCAACATTTTGTGATTCATGCACAAGGGCACCCGGGTCTCTCTTCACAGCAGCAATTTTTCACCATTTAAATAATCGTCAATTTTGCTGTTATTCCTATGGAAATAGATGACTTCACATCTACCAACATTGTATTCCATCTGCCAGACACTTGCCCACTCACTTAACCTATCTATATCCCTCTGCAGACTTTCAGTGTCCTCCGCACACTTTGCTCTACCACTCCTCTGTGCCATGTGAACCTTGATACACTACACTTGGTCCCCAACTCTAAATCATCTACGTAAATTGTAAACAATTTCAGTCCCACCACTGATCCCTGAAGTACACCACTAGCCACTGATCGCCAACCAGGAAAAATACCCATTTATCACACTCTTTGCTTTCTGTTAATTAACCAATCCTCTATCCATGCTAATACATTAACCGGAAAGCCATGTACCTTTATCTTATGCAGCAGCCTTTTGTGGTTTGTACTCTTACTGTGAATATTCTCAATGGAAACCACAATCGTAGTTTTGCATTGACAATATGTTAACACCTCAGTTTGCATGTCCTGTTGAACAATGGGACTATATCCAAAATTTAATAAGTATTTACTGTCCCTTGATAAATTAAAATACTTCAGTTTGGGAAATAAAACAACTTTCCCCCTCACCAGGATACCATACTGGAGACATGAGATGCTGAGTCAGTCAGAAGTCTTTGTATGAAAAAACAGGGGCGTCCACGCATGACTGATGTCAGAGCCGAAACTCGTGTCCATATTTGTTTCCATACGCGATTCATCCTAAAACAAAACCACAACCACATCAACATCCCAACCACAGATGAAGGCCACACAATATTCTCAAAATATTTCTGTTCACTCACACACAAAGCTCGTATCTCCCAAAGCTATGTCTCCATTAACCTTAAATAGGAGCATGGACAAATTGGATAGCTCTACCAAAGAATCAACATAGATACAATGGGCTGAAAAGCCTCCTTCTGTGCTGTATCATTCTGTGATTCTGCATATAACTGCATTCTACGTCCGAAGCGAAAGAATGAGAAATCTATGAATCCCAATAAAGGTTTTTAATCAAGTTCAGGTGTAGAGAGGTTACCATGAACTCTACGAACAAGAACAGCCAATAATTGTACTAAGTTTGCATCATCCTTGTTGCAATTTCAAAAGCGATCACTACCCACATCCTGCCCAGAGAAATCAAGGAAACTCAAAGTTTCAACAACAGTCCTGATGTAAAAGTACTAATGTAGTGCTATTCCTTCCATGCGTCAGGTCCTCAATAAAGTAATTAAAAATGAAAATATGTACTTTGTTACCTGTAATGTAGGAATGGTGTACTGAAGTTAGTATGAATATACTGGTGATTCAATATTCCTACTTTTAATGCACTTGTCCACCAGTTCCGTTACCTGCTAACTTGATTGTTGGCATTTGTTATTACATCTTTCAATGTTTTTAACATGATTATTTATATACACGAATATTTCCAAATATAAGTTACAATGCGATTCAACCTTTGAGATGCAATTGTTACCCACCCTGTAATTGCTCAGGAGTGACTTGTTGGGCCAATTCAGAGAGCATCTACACATGTTCATGAGACCAGGTGTGTAAACCTGTTGGGTTTTTAATGATATTGATAACTGTGTCGACTTGCGCATAGTCAACTCAAAGCTGGGTGGGAGGTGAGCTGTGAGGAGGATGCAGAGATGGTTCAGCGTGATTTGGACAAGTTGAGTGAGTGGGGCAAATGAAGTACAATGTGGATAATGTTAGGTTATCAATTTAAGTAGCAAAAACAGGGAGACGGATTATTATCTGAATGGCAATAGATTGGGAAAGGGGGAGGTCCATGTCATTGGGGTCCTTGTACACCAGTTGCTAACAGTAAGCATGCAGTTACAACAGACGGTGATGAAGGTAAATGGTATGTTGGCCTTTATAGTGCGAGGATTCGGCTACAAGGATGTCTTGCAGTAATTGTACAGGGCCTTGGTGAGAACACACCTGGAGTACGGTTTGCAGTTTTGGTCTCCTAATCGGAGGAAGGATGTTCTTGCTACAAAGGGAACGCAACATAGATTTACCAGACTGATTCCTGGAATGGCAGGACTCGCATATTAAGAGCGATTGGATTGGTGAAGACTATTTCCACTGGAGTGAGAGGTGATCTCATCAAAACCTACAAAACTCGAAGAGGACTAGCCAGGGTAAACAACACAGGAAGGAGTTACCGATGACCAGGGAGTCCAAAACCAGGGATCACAGTCTAAGGTTACGGGTAAGCTATTTAGGATGAGGAGAAATTCTTGCACCCAAACAGTGGTGAGTCAGTGGAATTCTCTATCACAGAAAGCAGTGAAGGCCAAAATATCAAATGTTTTCAAGGAATTATAGTTCTTGGAGCTAAAGGGATCAAAGGGTATGGGGAGAAAATGCGAACAGAGTACTGAGTTGGATGATCAGTCATGACTATATTGAATGGCGCAGCAGACATGAAATGGCCTACTCCTGCTCTTATTTTCTATGTTTCTACGGTCACCACTGACACCATTATTAAGATTAACTTTCAAATCCAGATGTCATAGTGGGACTTGAACACAGAAGATTAACTTAGGCCTCTGGATTTCTAGTCCAGAGATAATACCATCATACAACAGTCACCCGTAAGGTTTCTTGAGTTGTTTGTGTAGACATTTAATCTCAGATCACTGCTGGCAGAAAATAGATTGTTGTAATATCACCAGGCTTTACATCAGTGATTGGTTGCAATCTTGGGATGTGGAATATTGACTCATGAACTGAGGTGTCACTGGATGGGCCAGATTTATTGTCCTTCTTAAACGCCTTCAAGAAGATGGTGCTGAGCTGCTATCTTTTTTTCTAGTCCTGAAGTGCTCTTAGACACAACTGAATGTTTTCTTTCCCATCACCAAATCACCATGACTTTTGTCTTTAAACTATTAAACACTACCGGTAATCATCCATGCAGCCACTTAGAAATTCATATGCAAAGCCCACAAATGAAAACCATCAAAAGTGAAGATGGGGGCGGGGTCAGGGAGAGATGGAAGGGGCTTAATCAAAACGGAGTTGAATAGGGAGATAGAGCACTGTATCCCTCATGGCGCTCACCTCTCTGTAAAGATATTGAGAACACCAATAGACACTGCATTCTCCTTCTCCAAGGACACCCAGGAGTGAATGTAACCATAGACTTACAAATCAGGAGATAGTGGAATCCCATGTGAAGGCAGGGCTTTGTGATGATTGACCAGTCGAATGACCAGTGTCAGGACTCTGGCAAAGGCGTAATGGAAGGTCATACAGAGTCAGAGTCGCAGAGTTTTACAGCATGGAAACAGACCCTTCAGTCCAACTCATCCATGCTGACCAGATATCTTAAAGTAATCTAGTCACATTTGCCAGCATTTGGTCCATATCCCTCCAAGCCTTTCCTATTCAAGTATCCATCCAGATGTCTTTTAAATGATGTAACTGTACCCTCCTCCACCGGCAGCTCATTCTAAACACATAACACCCCCTGTGTGATAACGTTGCCCCTAAGGTCCCTTTTAAATTTTTCCCCTATTCTTAAACCTATTCCTACTATGGACTCCCCTGCCCTGGGCAAAAGACCTTGAATATTCATCCTATCTATGCCCCTCATGATTTTATAAACCTCTACATATGATGACATCTCACATATTATGTCCAGTCAAAGTTGGCAAAGCAAGTCCATCAATCAGTGGTTTCCAAAGTGGGTCCAGACCATAAGTGGGATTGTGAGCTCCAAAGCAGCACTAGCCATCATGGAACTGCAGTCAAGTTTATAACCGCTGTATTCTTTCTTTAATAGACAGCAACCCCAGCCCCATCCTTCCAGGCTCTTTCCACCCCAGCTAGTCTCACTGAGGGGCCATAACAATTTTTAAGCTCAAAACGTGGCCACAGTGGGAGAAGGTCTGGGAAGCACTGCCACGGATTGTTTGAAAAGCATCATCAGCAATGGAGCTGCCAAAAAGTAGTGACCCTGTAGAAGTCCCCCTCACCATCAAGACTTGGAAACACATTGCCATTCCTTCAGTGTCACTAGATCAAAATCCTGGAACTCCCTCTTGAACGCCATTGTGGATCTACCTACACTAAATGGGCTGCAGTGATCCAAGATGGCAGGGTCCCCATCGTTTTCTCAAGGGGCAAGTTGGGATGGGAAATAAACGCTGGTGCAGCCAGTAAAGCCCACATCCCATAAATAAACATTAAACAAAAGTGGTGGTCGTGTAATTGGGGGTTTGAAGGTACAGATCCAGTGCAATAGGTATTCACTGGAAGAAGGGTAAAACGTTTCTCCTCCTAGACATAAATTACACTTGACCAAAAAGAAAGAAACTGAAAACTGGCTTATCTTAATGATTTTTTTAAAAGGAAGCTATCAGGCACCAGGTCATTTAATGAAACACTGGGATCGTCCTGACAAAGCCAGGTTGTCTGGTCATCCTAGTCAATGGAAAGATGACCAGTGAAGGTAGTGTAGACATCAGAAGGTCACGGACACTGGCAGATGCAGCGAACAAGTGAGAGGGAATAGACTTTCCAAGTTAAACAAACAGAAAACAAACCGAATGAATGTATACACCACATGGAAAGGTGCTGACCTTAAAGCATGAGTATAGATTCGGTGATGTGATGTAGACCAAGGCAGGATCACTATTTGAAGCACAGGAAGATGGCAAGGTGAGGAGAGGGGGAAAGGGTGACTTTTGAAGTTGCTCTAATAGTCTGCTCCTGAAAAACCCGTCTTGGTTTCCCCAGAACTCGCTGTCATCAACAGCCAGATACCCCAGACTCTGAGTCTCCCAAAGCCCGACGCTCCACCGGCCGGCGGCGTTCACCACACATGGTCCCCCACTTCCACTTCCTCCGCGCCGGCTGGAAACCCCAGCTTCGAAGATTGGTTCCACCGCGCCTCCCACCAAACAGTTCCGGATGCAGTGGCAGCAACTTAAAATTTACAGACCATTGACTTTTTGTTACTTGGCAAGTTCCTGTTTCTGCTCATTGCAGTGTGGCAAGACTAAGTGACCGAGCTGTACGGGTATTTTTAATAATGGGATGCAGGAAAGTTGTTATTTTTTGCAGAAATTTAAGAATAGTGACTGTCAAAATGATAATTTAACAAGTCCAGTATCTTAGGAAGGGTCTAAGCCCGAAACGTCAGCTTTCCTGCTCCTCTGATGCTGCTTGGCCTGCTGTGTTCATCCAGCTCTACACCTTGTTATCTCAGATTAATTGGACTATTAGTCCCAAAACCTGAACTAATAATCATGATTAGGAATTTGAATTATACCATGGTAGTTTGCAAATTTGTATTCAGTATAAAATAAGAATGTTGGTTGTCACCAATTATCCATCCTTTAAAATGTTTTAGCAAATTAATGTTTTTTTTCAGGAATGTTCATATTCCCAGACTGAATTCACAAAAAGATTTTCCCTTGGCTGTAAAGCCCAATTTCCCTTTAAACTTTGTGCGGACTATCCTATGTGTTCAAACAATTTAAGTTTACAGATAACAGAGAAAATTAAAGACAAAGAGAATACTTGACTCAGATTAATAAAACAAGAATAATTAGAATCAAAGTATCATGCAATTCGAAGGTGATTAAATTAGTAGAACCTGCAGTATGCAACTAAGAGAAAATTTTCAGAACTTGACACTTTAAATATACAACTGAATAAATAGACTCAAAGCAGCCTAACTACCAGAAAGGGGAATGGAGCTAAAGTTAGCTCACCTAAATTCTACTGCAAATAAGCATTTCAGCCTCAGTGGTTGCACAGACATCCCAGTCATACTGCCTTCAGGGTATGATGGAAGTATTTATAGTTGTCGGAATCATCTTCTTCCCTTTGGGAGAAAGGTGGTGGAAATGTTGGAGATATTTCCAAAAATACAAATCTCACTCTCACAATCCATGTTCTAATGAACTAACATAATCACAAAGAATGTGCTATGTTACTTCATGGTAAAAGATAGTTGTGAATGGTGGTGGATAATTAAACAACTCAATGGAGAAGGAGGCTCCACAGACATTCCAGTTCTCAATCATGGAGCAGCCCGGCACATCAGAGTAAAAGATAAGGCTTTATAACCATATTTGCAAGATATGCCAAGTGCACGATCCCCTAGAGGTCCCAAGCATCACAGCTACTGAACTTCAGTCAATTCAATTTGTTGGTCCTACTCGCTATGCGAGTGCACTTGCACTTCCCTTACTCAAGGGATGGGACATCTGGAAGGAGATCAAGTTCCGTCAGCGCCCTTATGCCTAGCCAGTGATTAAATGCATCTGTGGCTCGAGAAATGGAGCGAAGTTCTCCACATATAGCCCAAGATACTGATTGTTTGGCTAGAACTGGTTTTCCATGTTGGTTGTCATCCATTCCAATGAGCCAGCCATGCTCTCACCTGCCAGACCCAGGATATCACACAGATCTTGACTAAAATATCCCTCTACCTTTCACTCCAATCTGCGCATGATCAGTGGCACTTCTGCCAGAAATTCCATTGCTTTCTTTTGCATCTCTGTCAACCCACTAATGGCCGAATCCAGAGGTTCATCATCATATGTACTGGACTCAGCAGGGTTCTGATCTATAGCAATCCTACATGTTCCAGAGATCTCAGACTTTTCTTTTCTCCCCCTCTTTCAGCTGCAGGGTGGTGTCAATGCTGTGCTTGCTAGAATGTGACCCCAAGTCTATTCTTGATAGTTTATAAACTGTGGAGAATGACTGCACTGCTGGAGGCTTGGGGAGGAGGGCACTGATGGTGCATCCTTTGAACCTCCCAATTGTTCTGAGGAGTGGTAAAGATGGACCTGGGGACTGCAACCCTCGTTTTTATTATCCTGACCTGGGAATGAGACCTGGAGGCTGTATAGAAAAACAAAGATTTGTTAGTGTGTTGAGCCACCACCCTTACCCAAGGTTTAAATAAGATAATGGTGCTCAACTGGGAGTAGCAATTTGGAGGCATTTTCTCTAGATGGCTGGAGATATCTAATTTGACTTCAGCTCAACCTCACTCCCTTTGTTCCCCAGACAGCTTAGTGGCTTGTTACTCAAATGGGGTCAGGAACCTAATGCTACACCCAGTTTGGACAGATTTGTACTTTATTTGTGCATGTTCTATTGCAGAATAAAAACATATGATGGGGCATTAATATGGGTACATGAGCACTATCCCTCCATTAATGGATACAGGTAGAGATGTTGATCCCTCATTAATTGTCTCTGTGTATTACCAGGATGTATGTGGATAACCAAGTGTTAAAGATTTCTGAGTGAAAGTTGGTTCAGTTTCATCGAAGAACTACAGTTGATGAGAGACAATAAAGCATTATATGATGTGTGTGCCTGAGATTTCAGTGAAGTCTTTGACAACATCCCACATGGGAGGCTGATAAAGTAAAAGCACATAGGATACAGAGTAACTTGACAAGTTGGATCCAAAACTGATTTAGTGGCAGGAGACAGAGGGTGGTGGCAGAAGGTTGTTTTTTTGACTGGAGCCTGGTGTGCAGTGGTATAACATAGGGATCAGTACTGGGTCCTTTATTGTTTGAGTTATATAAACACAATATAGATGAGAATGCAGAGGGTGAAAAATAAGTTTGCAGATAACACAAAGATTGGTTGGATGGTTGACAGTGAGGAAGGTGGTCTTAGGTCACAGGAAGATGTAGACGGATTGGCCAGATGGGCAGACCAGTGGCTGATGGAATATAACCCTGAAAAGTGTGAGCCAATGCATTTTGGAAGAAGTAACAATACAATGGAGTACTCAATGAATGGCAGAACACTACAAGGCTCAGAGGAAAAGAGGAATTTTTTTTTGGGCTGCTTGTCCACAGATCTCTGAAGGTGGTAGGACAAGTTTACAAAGTGGTTAAAAAGGCTTATGGGATACTTGCCTTTATCAACCATGGCAGTGGAGGTTATGTTGGAGCCGTATGAAACTTTGGCTAGGCCACATCTGGAGTGGTTCTGGTGGCCACGCTATTGGAAAAATGTGATTGCACTAGAAGGGGTGCAGAGGAGATTCACCTGGATGTTGCCTGGGTTGGAGTAGTTTAGCTATAAGAAGAGGCTGGATAAGCTCAAGTTGTTTTTCTTTAAAGCAGAGAAGGCTCATTGAGGTCTGTAAGATTATGAGGTGCATAAGCAGGTTGAAAAGGAGACAGCAATTCCCCTTACTTGAAGGGTCAATAACAAGAAGACATAATTTTAAGGTGAAAGGCAGGAGGTTTAGAGGGGTTTTGAGGAAACCATTTTTGACCCAGAGGGTGAGGAAAATCTGGAAACGCACTGCCTGGGAGGGTAGTAGAAATGAAAAACCTCACAACCTTTAAAACGTATGTGGATGAACATTTGAAATGTCATAACATTCAAGGTTATGAGCTTAGTACTGGAAAGCATGTCTAGCGTAGATTTAGAGTAGCTTTGTTAGTGCAGATTCAACAAACCAAAGGGCCTCTTCTGTACTGTATGATTCAATGACTATACATTATGAGGTACTCAACTCAAAGCCATCTTTTGAGGTTGGGTTTTGTCCTATGCTGGCTATCAGATGTGTGTCCCTGATGTGATGAAAGTTCCTTGAGCTGATGGTGCACAAGATCTGAGTTTTGTAGCTCCTTTTATGTTTTAAGTGTGAACCTTGACAGATTCTTGAGATGTATTATCAATATGATGCAATTAAATAACAGACGTTCATCGTACTTGAGCCAATTAATGGAGATGCCTGGGACCCAACCCACTGTGTGACATTCCTCTGCAGTAGCAATTTTACAAGGCTCACTTGTACTTGGGGACATGAAGCATTGAGTGGCGAGTGGTAGTTAGCCTGGCAGAGTACAGCGTTTCATTCATCCTCTTGTGGCTGGAGCTCTTCAGCTGCCTACAGCTGCCAATCTCTGTAGCTAAACCCTTTTCTCCCAACAGTTTTCAGAGGCATCTGTCAAGTGTGGCATCACTTACTTTCCTGGGCTCCGGCATCGTCGAGGTGAGTCAGGCTGATGAGCAGAGATTGAGTGTTGTTCCTGTGTTGCAGGCAGTGAAGTACTGAGTGGATGCCATTTAAATATGGTGCTTACTTGGTTTGGAGACCAGACACTCTTGGCAGGGAGAGGGCATACCTTCCTGCCCACTTGCCTATAAAATTTGGTATTTCACCCATACATGCACAAATAATGATCTGAGAACATAATTGAGCAATTGACTTCGAGCTATACCACGCTCCACTAGGAGCAGAAGTGCCTCCTGCTTTTAGGCCCACCTGCACACAATCTCAAAAAACAAGATTCAACCACTGTTTTGAAAAGGTAAATACATATATGGAAAATTATTATAGTTTTTTTTTAACAAAAACCTGCGGAAAATTTGTAATGTGTCAGTGCTTCTTGCTGTTTGTCTTAGCTTCCCTCCCTTCACCCTTGGGAAATAAAATATTCAACCATCTTCTTTCTACTTTTTCACATTTCTGCATAGTCTGCTCAGTGATAGAAACAGAGGCATCAGAACAGATGGCCTCCTGACATTTTATTTAGATTTGATTTATGGTTGATAAGGACAGATAAAGCAACTGAACATTAGGAAAATTACAGACTTGCCTGGTCCATACTGAAGAATGTTGGAATTCAAATGAGCAAAATCATTCATGCTTTGAGTAATGATAATCTCTGACATCTAATTGTCTGAGATAGTCAGACTGGTTGATCATCCATAACATTGTTCACAGGCCATCAGGGTCAAATATAGTGGTCGAATAAAATAGGGCAAGGGCAAAGGGCATAACTGGACCAGGATTTGTTGATTTAATTCATACTCATTTTGAAGTCATACATTCTTTCCTATTTTGATATACTTTAATATTATGAATCATTAAATAGCAAAACATGGCAGTTAGGGGAGATGGTATTGTAGAAGTAATGTCAATAGATGAGCACCCCAGAGCCTCAAGTTAATGTTCTGGTGAGATGGTTTTAATCCCACAATGGTAGATTGTAACACTTGAATTCAATAACAAAAAGAAGCTTATCTAAAGCTGTCGATGTTGATTGCTGTTAAAATCTCATCTGGTTCGCTAATGTCTTTTTGGGAAGGAAATTTGTTAGTCTTACCTGCTCTGGCCACTATGTGAGTCCAGATCCACTGAACAATTAGGGATGAGCAATACATGCTGGCCAAGTCAGTGATGCCCACATCCCATGAACTAACAAGAAAAACTAGAGCTGACTAGAGCACAGCAGTCTCAACTGAGAAACTGAAGAACTCAAAACTGAGGTTCTGAAGTATCAGTGCAAAGTGTGATTACATGGTGGCAAACACACACAGGTAATTTTCATTATTAACCTGGTCATAGTAATTTATAATGGAAAAGCTGAGATAGAACTATGATAATAACATTTCAGCATAGAATAATGTTTTGCACACAGGAAAAGCACAGAAACATAAAAGTAACAATATAGACACTGTCAGATCTCCAGATATTTTGTTACATTCCACATTTATTGTACTTGATTGCATCTTATTTGTTATGTTAAATATCTATTGCATCTGATCTATTCCACACATTCTGTTGCTTTAATATTTGTTTTGTATTTCACATTTCCTCTGGTGTTTTCAGTTTAGTTGGTAGATTGACTAAAGCAGAAGTAGGTTTGTTTTATGAAGAGATAGAAACAAATCAAGATATGATCAATGATGAGAACAATGTCCAATTCATTATTAAAATCACTTTCAATTTTTCAGATCCAACTATGTAACCTGACATGCAAGCAGTTGGCTTTTAAACGATTACAAAGCAATTTTTTTTTAAAAGAAGACTTCTCTTTTCAAGACACAATGGCTGCCCAATGGTGCCTATTGTTCACAGAGTAAAAGCTACATTTTATGTAAAGATGATGTCTGAGGGCACAAACCTGCCAAGAGGTAGTGCAAAAAAGTTAGTTTTGTATTAGTGAAAGCATTAGAAAGGACTTGACAGCACAAAGCATCCAGTAGAAATGACTGGATAATCTGGGAACAACTTGGCGGCACAGTAACTGTGTTACTGAAAGAGTGGGAAAGAGCTCGTCAGTAGATGCTTCTTGATGTTGAACAGGTTACTAGTTGCATTCTTATGGGTTTCAATGTACTTGTTGCTGATATCACTTGAAGCTTTAAATTGTGGCTGCAAGCCAGTAATATGGAGCTGGGGAATATTTGGATCTTTTAGTTGCAGCCGTGGTGAATTGTAGGAATAACGCAATGGAGTAGATTTCTCGTGGACAGTTCTAACTCTGTTTGCATCTGTGGCAACTGAGGATCTGGAGTGCTGCATGTCTTTAAAGTTCAACAAGTCAAGACTCAAACATTTCAAATTTACATGGAGAGGATCTCTGAGCATCTGTCGATTGGGCAAAATTAGATGCTTCACAGACATACTCATCTGTGTGATCTTGGATTTAGGCTGCAAACGCTGCTTGCTGACTTTCCGAATCCCTTCAGTCCTGTTAAACTTTGGCACTTCATAATCTTGTTCCACTTTGTCACCTGGGTCACGTTTACAATTGTTTTCAGTTTCAGTAGCTGGAGTTGTTTCAGCAATGTTATTTTTCATTTTCTGCATCTCATCCCATGCTTTTACAATACTGGTGCCCAGAATTTTGGGGCTACTTAATTTCTTTGCCTTTTTACGGTTGTAAGAAGTATAATTCCTAGACTTGTGGTAATGTTTGGAAATGCTGGAAGTTTTTATCTTACTGCAGTTGTTAGTATTGTCAACAGTTTTCTCTTTCCCACAAGTGTTGGAACTGCCATGGTCTTGAATATGGTTGGAATCTTGGGGTATATTATGATTCTTTGCAATGTTAGGATTGGGAACTGTGGAATTGTTCAGATCATTGGAATGATTGGGAATGAGAGAATCTTTTGTATGGCTGGATTTGTTGGGATTTAACGAACTGTCTGTAGTGCTGGAAGTACTAGGATTTGACAGATCCTTTGCAATGTTAGAAACAGTCGAACTTAAGGGATTTTTTGTGACACTGGAATCATTAGGATTTAAAGAATCGTTTGGAGTGCTGGAATTACTGGAATCTGACAGATCTTTTGCCATGCTGGAATTAGTTGAATTTGATTGACTTCTTGTGATGCTAGAATTACTGGGATTCAAAAGATTTTTTGTTGCACTGGAATTCATTGAATATAATACATTTTTTGTGATGCTAAAGTGGTTGGGAATTAAAGAATTCTTTACCATACTCAAATTATGGAAATTTAACACACTCTTTGCAAGGCCAGAATTATTGAGATTAGGTGAAACTTTGCCCTGAATGGGAAGTAAAGGATTCCTTTCATTACCAAAATAGATGAGATTCTTTATATTGCTGGTATTGTAACTCTTTGTAGCAGGTAAATTGAGGGAACGCTTTGCAAATTCAGGATGGGTGTCGATTGCAGAAAGTTTTGATTTGCTTAGATTGCTGCATAGTTTGGGATAGTCTCTATTCTTGGCAGATTCAGCGTTTGCTGGCTTATTTACATCATCATTTAGAGCTACTTGGCGGTGTTGAGATGTGAGACCACAGATTTTTTGCACGGTTTCAGAGATCTGGGAAATGTTACGCAACCCATTGCTCTGGCTCTTTGGAATAAGTGCTGGTGGTTTCTTGATGCTTGATCCTTCAACGAGCAGATTGATCCCTAAGTAAAGAGGAATGGCCATAGTACACTGTAAGAGAAAGAAAACCAAATCACTTGTAATGGACAAAAGAAAGCAAGGTTTCACATCCGCATTCATGGTTATTATAAAGTATCTGAACATTAGCATTACTGGGATAATACCCAATTGTGGCAAATGAAAGGTATGTGGAAAATTAGGTAATATAAAGCACAGTTAATTTGACGCTTTCAATAACCTAGGGCCAATCAGAGTTCTAGTATGCTCCTCCCAGCAAGTTACAGAAGCTGCTAGATGGAGAAAAATGGGGCAGTTGGTGGGGAGAAGAGGTTGTGGGATCATAGGATGTTTTGGGCACAATTATCAGTCATTGAGTCATCGCTACTCCAAAAAGGTCCATTCAGTTCACACAGTCCATACTGGCTCACTCTACTGCAGTCCAATTTGGCCCAATCCCTGTTCTATCCCCATAACCCTGCAAGTTTGTCTTCCTCAAATGTGCGTTCAATTTCCTTTTGAAAATTATTGATCATCAACACTTTCACCACCTAAGTCTAGTCATATGTTTTTGAGTTAGAGAGCTGTGAACCACAACTCCTCCAAAAACTGGCCCAATTCCTTGATATGGTGGAGGGCTAAAATATACTTATAATGCATTGAAGCTGGCCACGTCAGCAGTCGAGGGTGTGGGTTCATGATCACACCAGCCCATAACGTTACCCTGATTTGATGAAAACTGGGGGCAATGGGATTGGGGCTGCAATTCCAGAACGCAGTCTCAGCCGCCATGTCTAAAGGTCTCCCAAATCAGTGGAACTCCAGCCCATTGTATTCAAGTGTTGGCACTGCATTTTAGGAAGTATGTCAACGACATGGACAGGTGCAGAAAATACTCACTAGAAAAATACTATAGTGCTGGACTTCAGTTACATGGTGGGACTTGTAAAGATTCCATTGTTTTACTTTTAATTATTTTTAGTTATAGACAAAAATGGACAAAAAGGTTGTTTGCTGCAAGGACTGTGGAAAGAATTACTGCACTTTTTAAAACAAGTTATTGGAACATATTTTGAGGTGTATTTGTACTGTTGCATTGCAAGCATTGGGGGAAGAGAGACAAAATGCCAGGGCACTGGGGAGTGTGCAGAGTGAGATCTGTCCAGCAACAAAATGGTGATTGGTTTGTGCAATTGTGACCAGTTGAAGATGCCAGAAATCATCAGCTAACCAACAAATTTCTGATTGGCTCCTGGGCAGTTCAGTAGCTTTCTGACAGAGAGAGAGAAGCCTCTGGATTGCTGAAGAAGCGGGTTCTGTGACTTTATGTCTCAGCAGTAAAAATAACTAAAGCCTGAAGAAAAGCTAATTATTTTCTCGCATTAGTTGTTGTAAGTTGTTGCCTTTATCCAGTAACTCCAAGACTTTATAATTAGTATACCAGTCATCCTGAGTCTCCTGAGACAAATCTGGAAAAGGGGATCAGGCATAGAAAATTTTGAGAAGGAACATTGCCTCAATCCTGTGGCCTGGTGGTATTGAACTATCCTTCCCTTATGCTTGTTTCCTCCACCCATAACTCCAATGTTTTCCTTTTCATCTGTCTCTGTTCATTTGTGTGTTTAGGGATGTTAAAAAGGGAGTTAGAGTTTCAACTAGTGAAGTTATATGTTGGCAGTTCACAGTTTTGTTTACTTGTGGCTACTGCTTTATTACCTTATCTTATAGTATTAAGTTATTTATTGTAATAAACAGTAATTTTTGTTAAGTACAGAAACCTGGTCATATTTTTGTTAGTCTGATTCCATTAGGCAAGTAAATTAGGGACTTTGCGTGCTTTAATTAAATCATTACATTTTGTGGCAATCCTGGGAACAGTGGGGCTTGAGAATCAATGAGCTTTCCCAAGTGAGTCATGACAGACTAGAGAATCTGAAATAAAAGCAGAAAGGAGGATTTAGACAAGTAAGGGTGGTGGTGGTGGGGCGGAGGTGGGATGGTGTGGGGAGAGGGCAGAAGCCAGAGAAAAATGAGGAAAGGGATCAGTGTGAGGCTGGTGCAGTCAGTGAAGAGAGCAAGTCAAACAGTCAAGGCAGACAAGGGCAAAGCAGAGAATGAGGTAAGACTGATAAATTAAACTGCATTTATTTCAATGCAATAGGCCTGACAGGTAAGGCAGATGAACTCAGGGCATGGTTGGGAACGTGGGACTGGGATATCACAGATCTTACAGAGATGTGGGATGCTATAGGAAGGATAGAAAGGGGGACAACAGAGAAGAGGGGTGGCATTTTGATTAGGGAGGACATTCCACGGAATGTGTCCAGTGAAGTTATTTATGTGGAACTGAGAAATAAGAAAGGAATGATCACCTTATTGGGATTATATTACAGACCATCCAATAGTCAGTGGGAAATTGAGAAGCAAATTTGTAAGGGGATTTCAGTTATCTATATGAATAAGAGGGTGGTAATGGTAAGGAATTTTAACTTTCCAAACATAGACTGGGATTGCCATGGTGTTAAGGGATGGATGGACAGGAATTTGTTAAGTGTGTATAAGAAAATTTTCTTATTCAGTATGTGGATGTACCTACTAGAGAAGGTGCAAAACGTGACCTTCTCTTGGAAAATAAGGCAGGCCAAGTGATAAAGGTATCAGTGAGGGAACACTTTGGGGCAAGTGATCATAATTCTATTAGGTTTAAAATAGTTATGGAAAAGGATAGACCTGATCTAAAAGTTAAAGTTCTAAGATGGAGAAATGCCAATTTTGATGGTATTAGGCAAGAACTTTCAAAACTAGATTGGAGGGAGATATTCGCAGGTAAAGGGATGGCTGGAAAGTGGGAAGCCTTCAAAAATGAGATAATGAGAGTCCAGAGACAGTATGCTCCTGTTAGGGTGAAGGGCAAGGCTGGAAAGTGTAGGGAATGCTGGAAGCCTAGAGAAATTGCAGTTCTGGTCAAGAAAAAGAAGGAAGCATATGTCAGGTATAGACAGCAGGAATCGAATGAATCCCTAGAGGAGTATAAGGGCAGTAGGAGTATACTTAAGAGGGAAATCAGCAAGGCAAAAAGGGGACTTGTGATAGCTTTGGCAAATAGGGTTAAGAGGAATCCAAAAGGGTTCGACAAATACATTAAGAACAAAAGAGTAACTATGGAGAGAATAGGGCCCCTTAGCAATCAGTAAGTCCATCTATGTGGGGAATGGCAGGAGATGGCGTGATACTAGACAAGTGTTTACTATGGAGAAGGATATGGAAGCTAAAGAACTTGGGGAAATAAATCGTGATATTTTGAAAAGTGCCCATATTGTAGAGGCGGTGGTGCTGGATATCTTAAAACGCAAAAAGGTGTATAAATCCCTGGGATCGGTTCGGGTGTACCCAAGAATTTTGTGGGAAGCCAGGGATGTGATTACTGAGCCCCTTGCTGAGATATTTGTATCATCAGTAGTCATGGGTGAGATGTTGGAAGACTGGAGGTTGGCTAACGTGATGCCATTATTTAAGAAACGTGATAAGGAAAAGCCAGGGAACTATAGACCGGTGAGCCTGATATCAGTGATGGGCAAGTTGTTGGATGGGATTATGAGGGACAGGATTTACATGAATTTGGAAAGGCAAGGACTGATTAGGGATAGTCAACGTGGTTATGTGCATGGGAAATAGTGCCTCACTAACTTGAGAGATTTTTGAAGAAGTAACGAAGAGGATTTATGAAAGCAGAGCAGTGGACATTGTCCAAATGGATTTCAGTAAGGTGTTCGACAAGGTTCTGTGTGGTAGACTGGTTAATAAGGTTAGATCACATGGAATACAGTGAGAACTAGCGATTTGGATACAAAATTGGCTCAAAGGTAGGAGACAGAGGGTATTGGTGGAGGGTTCTTTTTGGACTGCAAGATTGGTGCTGGGTTCACTACTTTTTGACATTTATATAAATGATTTGGATGTGAATATAGGAGGTACGGTTAGTAAGTTTGCAGACAATGCTAAAATTGGTGGTGTAGTAAACAGTGAAGAAGGTTACCTCAGAGTACCTTGATCAGATGGGCTGATGGGCTGAAGAGTGGCAGATGGAGTGTAATCTGGATAACCGTGAGGTGCTACATTTTGGTGAGGCAAATCAGGGCAGGACTTCTACACTTAATGGTAAGATCCTGGGGAGTGTTGCTGAACAAAGAGACCTTGGAGTGCAGGTTCATAGTTCCTTGAAAGTGGAATCCCAGGTAGACAGGGTAGTGAAGAAGGTGTTTGCCATGCTTGCCTTTATTGGTCAGTGCATTGAGTGTAGGAGTTAGGAGGTCCTGTTGTGGACTCAATTAATTTAGGATATTTGGTGGGCTTGGATGAGTTGGACCAAAGGGTCTATTTCTGTGCTGTACATCTCCATGACTCTATGTTTGAGAAATGCAATGGGAGAAACAGAGTTAATGTTCAACTCCAGTATCACTGGCTTGAGATCTGTGTATTTGAGACTGTTAGGCTTAAAGCAGAGAAGATGAGTTTTTTTTTAGATAGTCTCTCTTTCTTTAATCTATTTCCAGTAGCAGTAGGCCACTAACCAGAGAATACATTCAATTTCCGTTGTAATATTTGTCCAGTATTCTGAGCAGGAAGCAATCATCTCCCTTTATTTCCATTAACTGGGCTGCTTTCTCCCGTAGTCAGTAATGTTTTATATTACCTGTTTATACAGAAGCTCAAATCCGCCTGTGTCACTGGTCTTCTCATACCTTCGGTCGATAACCACTTTTATTGTATCCTCCTGAACATTGCTGCACAATGTGGCTGTCACTGGTGTTGAAGGTGACATTGTGGGGCTACAATTAATTTCAATCAGCCATGGTTTGAAGTCCTCTCCCAACAGGAAATCAGCACCGTACAGCTCAAAACTGTTCTTGCGAGGTTTCACAATGTCCTGCATTACTTGTATGGTATTCACAATTGCCTTCTTCATGCCGGGAGAGATGATATCCTCCCAAATGTTTCCAAAGCCATTTTTGTTCAGATACTCTTTGAACTGGTTACTGGACCACATGTTGTCTCTAGGAACGAATGGGTGGCGATTGGAAGAGGCCACAAAGTGTTTTTGGATTGAGTTATTGCACAAGTGAATTGCTCTAAAAGACACAAAGAAACATTTGTTAGCTGCAATAACATGGACTGCAGTTACTTTTAAGTTATATGTCCAGTTACATGGTGGATTAGATGTTACTAAAATTAAACATTGCTTTAGCATTGTAAGGTAAAATATCTGTAAGATATGTCTGACTTGCAATGTTATGTGGAATAATAAGTTTAAAATTCCATAACTTATCATTTCTATCCTAAGCAAAGTTAACAGATACATCAAGCATATTTCAACAGATAAACAGTACAGCAAATCTGTAGCTACCCTTTGCACATATTTACATTGGCAGGCTGCAAAGTATAATTCCTTGATCTGCATCAGGGAAATTAGCCTCTGATGCCATCGCACTGGACCTCATTTCTACATTTACAATGGATCTTGGGAACTCGTTGCCTTCTCCAACTTCAAATTGCAGTCAGTCATATCTAGGTGAGAAAGGAGAAGCTAAATTCCGCAATCCATTTCAAGTCCCTCTTCCTGTCTGTTTTCCATCAGCTGGGGCTGAGAAGAAGGTAAGAGAGTTCAAATCAAATTGAGATTTTGGGCTCATAGAAAGATACTTTGGAAAGCCAATTATTATTAAATTTTTCTTGTATGTCAGCCACCATTTTCAAGACTGGCACAACTATTGCTTGTTACATTGACCTTTTGGTTGAGAGTCAAAAATATTGCAGCCCAATTTGGCCAACAAACCAAATCCCAATTCTTTAGTGGCACTCTCTCCAAGTGCACATGATCCCGCTTATTACTCTTATTGTAATGAGATGTCATTCTCAATGAACTACCATTCAAAAGACATTGCCTGAGTTGTCATGGTGATACATACGTGTCGAGATTGTCCAATGAGAATGCCTGAGATGAGAAGCGCAGATAACAGTCTTTATAGTACCAGATCGTCACAGGGTTCCAGTCTGTCACTAAAAACCACTGCCGCATATCGAATTTTGTCCCATAAATAAGCAACGGGTGTTCAATGTATTTTTGCACTACCCACTTGCCATCTGTGATGAAAGTTGTCTGGCCATAAACTAGCTTCATGATCTGTTCCAAACGGTTCATGCAGGTGATTCCTGCAGAGATAGATAATAAAAATCTCTTTCCACCCAACTAAAACCACACTTCAGGCAAATAGTCAGAAAGAGGTGTAGGTTATGACACTGAGAGTTGTACCGGTAATATACACTCACTACCTTCCGATTCACGAACAAACTCAGAGGCATATTTATGTTTATAAATAAACTCAAAGAATCACAGAATAATACAGCACATATGGAGACCATGGATACATGGTAGAACTATTTAATATCTTGTTTGCTATAGTCCTGTAAATTCTTTCAAGCATTTAATTCCCTTTTAAAAGTTACCATCAAAGCTAATTTTACCATCATTTCAATTAGTGCATTCCACATCATCATCTGAACTGCTCGATTCAGTTTCTCTTCTTTACTGAGCCTTCATGATCATCTGCCAATTTTTCCCATCTGATCCTTGAGATCTCTTCCATCACTAACACTATCAACCTTCCTCCTTCCTACCACCAAGGCCCGTCCAATCCATGCTCCCTGAGGCCTTGGTGATATTCCCTAATGTGGGTCTTACAATCTCACCACCATCATCTCCTTCTGATTCCCACCCCTCTCCAGGCTCTTTTCATGTCTCCTCTGCCACTGTAAGACCTTTACTACCTCTGCCTTCAGGGTCTGTCCAATCTCCAAATGACACTGACCCTACCAATAATCTCCCCAAAGCCCAAATCCGACAGCTACCCTAAAATCTATGATTGTTCAATCTCTTAAAGTATTCACTCCCCCATTCCTCCCTACTCCATGGCTGCAGGCTGGTGTCAAAGGTTATCTGCCTGACAGACGACTAGATTCTCAATCTGGCTGGCTCTGGCTGGGAAGGTAAAACTAACCTGTTAATGAGCATCCATTTTTTCCACGCTGCTTCCAAACTAATATTTAGGCGAATGTTTTAGCTGAGGCCTGACCAATATTTTATAGAACTTTAGCATAAATTCCTCACTTTTGTATTCTACACTTTTATTTATAAGGGCAAGGATCCCATCTGATTATTTTTTAACGGCCTTTTCAATTTGCCCTGCCACCAAAGACTTGTGTACATGCACTCTCAGGACTTTCTGTTTCTGCACTTCATTTAAATTTACACAGTATAGTTCATATTGTTTTCATGTTCATCCTACAGAAATGTAAAATCTCATGCTTCTCCAAATTAAATTTCATCTGCCAAGTTTCAGTCCATTTTACCACTTTGCCAATGGACCTCTTAAAGTGTATTACAATCCTCCTCATTGTTTATTCCACTTCCCAGCTTTGTACCATCTGCAAATGTTGAAATTATGTTTTTTGTATCCAAATAGAGGTCATTAATAGGTATCAGAAACAGCAGGACTTTAATACCAATTCTGGGTAAACCAACTGTACACTTTCCTCTAGTTTGAAAAATAAATACAGTTCAAAACAGGGACTCACTGAAGGACAGATCAGTAATATTTTTCTCCAAGGAATATATTTAAGTAATGTAACTCTCCAAACACAAGGAAAACACGAGACTCTATCTACAGAGTTGAAGCCTCCATATGGTTTACACCTGATGGGTGCATGACAGAAATATGTTCATGGATGTTCAATTTCATTTACAAAACAGAATATTCAAAATAAATCGTAATGCCTTTGCTCAGTGGCTGTATGACAAATTATTATTGTCTAACTCTGCCAGGGAACCTCACTCTACACTAATGAATCTGTCACTTCTATTCCTTGTGGGTTAATGAAGCAGAGCTGGAAACTAGTCAGTTAGTGGATGTCCATTTTGCAGATTATTAGCATATAGTTTTATGGCAGCAGAGAAGATGTAATGAAAATGCATCATTTTCTTGAGTCTGAGGTTTCCCACTTTATTCTTAACATCAATAAGCTATGAGAAATTCACTGAAGAAATTATATCCCATTGTAACTGCCATGGAAACCATTACACAAAAGCTTTTACCAAGAAATACAAAGTTTTGACATTTTTCTTGGCTTTGAAAGAGCTAATATATTGTATAAATCTGGTTATATTATTTTCAGCAGCATATTATTTTCATATTACACTTCAGCTAAATGCCAAGAGGTTAATTGTAAATATAGAGAAAGATGAATGCCAATGTTTATTTTATCCTCTATAAGTAATGACAGTATAGATCGGAATGGCTACATTAACTGCGTATGTACATAAAGATTTCCTTCTGTGAATAAAGTGTATTTTTTCAATAAAAAATTTCAGCAGTGTAGCGTTTTTTTGCTTCTTATATTTTACAAATAAATAAATATAACTAAATATTGTTAGACTATACACATTGGTTTGGTGACATGACATTTTCTATCTTAAGAACAGCTGAGAGGGCATGATAGGAAATCCGTATTAAAATAAGTACTGCAATTAAGAATTCATTAAATCTGTACTCATGATCCTGCACGTGACAGTGAATTGAATGCAAGCTTCAATTCATAAAGAATCTGGTTCGCTTATGGAACCTACCTAACCATTAATACCTTAGCATGAAAGTATCAAATAGGTAACAAGATGCATCAGTAATGTAAATCCCTCCCTAAGAAAGGGAAATAGAAAGAGTGGATCAGAGATGCTGACCCTCCCTTCTAAAGATTAGTATATTAATAATGAAACTCTTTCCAATATGAAATGAGCAAGCAATTTATGCTCCCTCTCCTCTACAATACAAAGAACATAAAAGTGGATCTTATAGCTTTGTTTCAAGTGGTAAAGGTTGCAGGTCACTTTGGATCTTTTCTCATACCTCTGCCACGAGACTGGGCTCCAGGTTTCACAATCCAGATGTTCCGCATTCCTTCCATCTTCAGCTGTGTATTTGCTTCCTGTAGCTGCTTCAGCATATTTTCACAAACCGCAGCATAGACCTTCCAATTCTGAATTGTTGCTCCCTCACTGAGACAGATACATGACAATGCAATTAAAAGTATAAATAAACAGCTTCCAGAAACCAACTCACACAGGTTTTTGCTACAGCAGGTGGACTACTGCGTTTCAGATTAAGAACATTTTGGAAGCATATAAGAACTTAATTTTTAAGAAGCTTAATTCCAGGTGATATTTTACATGTTATGATGGAAAATGATGTTTAGTTCATTTCAAATTTTAATTATTTAAGATTTTAAAAAATCGACTGTTAGGACATGTTATGACACATCTCCATGGCCATCATATCCTGGTTGGCATTTCAACATAGGCCTCCCTGGCCCACATGTAGGGATTCTATAACTGGACCAGAAGAACCTTTTACTACTGGATTTCTAAATGTCTATGGTTTTCAATTTTGATAATATCCTGCAATCTAAGCATTGTCCTGTCACTGTTCGCTCAAAATTAAAATAAAAATTCAAATCAAGTTGCAATTTCCTTAAGTAGTGTTGTTCTCTGGATTGCTGAATTTCTTGTTGCAATTTTGAGGCAATGTGTTTACTTATATAGAGGCAGGAGGAACTGTAGTGGTTTATTGGTCAGGAAACTCAAGAAGAATGGGTTTCCCTTAGGTCTTGGTGGAATTTAATGTAAAAGATTGTATTATCATGTTTGGAATCTGTTCCCCAATCCCAGGCAGCCAGATTGAGAGGCTGGGTGTCTGTTGGCACGTTATCCTTGCAGAAAATGGCTGCAACCAGAGGATAAGAAAGCAAGAGCAGGGACTTGGGCTGGGGTTTGGAGAACTGTTGATGTCTCATTGATGTGGGAGATCAAAGAAGGGGCATGGAACTAGGGGACAGGGAGAGATCCAAGTGAGTTTGTGTGGTATATTGAGGTAGGGTGCTATAGAGGACATGTGAAGGCAACAATGATGTGCAATGAGGCCCAGGCTGGACATGATCAATGGGGAGAATAACAGGTTTCCTTAGAGAATCAGGGAAGCACTCCTAGTTGTCCCTGGCCCAGAACCACTTCAGGAGAACCACTTAGTTGTTTCATCCAATGGCCCTCACCTCTCTGTGGCTGCTCACTTCCTCAAGAGACAGGAAACCTACTTAGCCCAGTTAGAACAGAGAAAAAAAACTGTGACATAGATCTTCATTAAAATATTTAAAAGAAAGAGCTTTCCCTGAGGGAAGGATGATGACTTCCACTATCTTCTCCAGCACAACCTCCTGGTTCCAATTGTTAAAACTGTACGTTAGTGTGTTTGAATTGGCTTGGGCTCATGTCTGAAAATTTCTAAAAATTTTAAACTTTCTATCCAACCAAAACGCACCAGCATTATGAATTAAAATTACTGCATTGTGACTGGAATCAAATGCTTTGGTCATGTTAATCTCCATGTAGTATGTAGTGATCCAATGTTTCAGTGGAACCATCATTACTGGTAAAAGACAATTGCCCTGAGCATTTACATAAGTATTTAAACACCGACCAGATGTAAATTTACTACGCTGTCCATTAAAGCAGAAGGAAGGTGTAGGGAGGGGACAAGGGGTTGCACATTGTGTGATGAGGCCTACTGCTGCCTCACCACCCTGACCTGAATGTACCCATCTACACCTTACCATCCACTGCTTCCCCAAATCCCACTTGTGCCAAGACTACTGCTGGTTGCATATTCCTTATTCCCCACATTCAGATGCTGGGATGCCAACCTATCTCATTTTTCTGATGAAGGGTCTAGGCCCGAAATGTCAGCCTTTCTGCTCCTATGATGCTGCTTAGCCTGCTGTGTTCATCCAGCTCTGCACCTTGTTGTCTCTCTTCACTCAGATCAGTGCTGGTTTTCACCAACTCTAAGAAGTGCCATATTAGTGATGACCAACAGGGGGCAATAGTGGATACTGCTATAAATACATCAATTGGAGGGAAGTAGTGTACCTAAGAATCCTCTTCTTCCTCCACTGCTTACCAGGTGAAGGCCTGGCTTTTGACCAAGGCCTTCATTGAATGCACATCCTCATTATTTGAGGTCACGTGATCTATTCATTATGGATTGTATCTTTATAGATGTTGCTGTAGTGGTTGTGTCTTACCATTGCCTTGAATGTTTATTGGCAGGCTATCCTTTGCTGATCAGAATGTCACCAGGGTATTGCTGTGTACATAATGACCCGGAACTCAAAAAGAGCTGGGTCAAGTTCATAGTTGGATCTTAACTAAAATCTTTATGACACAGTCCATTAACAACTTCAAAGCTGGTCATCGTCTGGCAAAATCACTTCAAACTCTATTGTAAATGAATGCGGTCTCATTAAAGGAGCTGAAACCTGAAACATATCTAACAAAAAGACAGGTTCTTTTTGCAGCAAATGGGGATCAAGTGAATGTATTTTTCATTAGAATAAAAAAATACAGAATTTGATTTATGTTTACAGTATTAAAGTGTTGAACTAGATTAAATGTGAGTCCTAAATGTGTCCTGATGTTGTGGTGAGGTTTGAGTTTTGACAATACCAACCCCTGTGAAAGTACAGTGCAGATGGTTACTGACTGTGGAGCATGTCCTGAGATGTTAGGAAATGTTGGACACTAAGGCTGTCCTTTATTCCCTTGATATCAAAAATCTATTACAATCTATTACAGATTTATTGTAGAAACTCAGCAGATCTGACAGCATCTGTGAAGAGAAAACGGTTAACATGTCTCTCCACAGATGGTGCCAGACCTACTGAGTTTCTTCAGCAATTTCTGTTTTTGTTTTAGAATTCTAGCATCTGCATGCAGTTCTTTGTTTTTGGTCTTGCCATATTTTACCAATTGGATGATAATTGCTCCAATTTGTCAGTGGCTGAAAAGATTGCAAAATTACATTCTGTACCCTTAGATCAAAATTTCTTTGATAGAATTGGTACTTTGGAATATCATGGTTCCAACAATTAGACTATTTAATAAGAATGATACAATGAGATAGTGTTTTTGAACAAAGATAAATGTATCAAGAATGATTAGTAGATATGGTAGATACTTTAACAGGAACATTAGCAAAAATATGCTGACTGAGGTTCTATACTTGGATTAGAGCATCTATCTTAGTTTTTAAAAAAATCAATAATGGGATGTGGGCATCACTGGTAGGGCCAGCATTTATTGTTGATTCCTAGTTGGCTTTGAGAAGCTGTGGGGAGCTGCTTTCTTGAACCGCTGCAGTCCATGTGCTGCCAGTTGTTAGTGTGATAAGATTGCTTTATTGCAATTTTAGTGTTCTGAGGACATGGGTTCAAATCCCAGCACTTTAAATGGTGAAATTTAAATTTAATAATGAAAACGTCTGCAATAAAGACTTAGTCTAATTGTAACCATTGTTGATTGTTGTAAAAACTCATCTAGTACCCATAGCATCCTTCAGGGAAGGAAATCTGCCAGCCTTACCTGGTCTGGCCTATGTGTGACTCCAGAGTCACGGCAATAAGGTTGACTTTTAACTACACTCCAGGCAAGCATGGATGGGCAGTAAGTGCTAGCCTGGCATTTGAATGCGGTCATTTAAATGAATAAAAAGAAAGTGTTGTCAATAAATTTTTACAAACTGACTTCTAAGAAAAGCAACAGACCCTTTCAAAGTCAACATGAAATTATTAGATGGCATCAGTATTTAAGAATTAATCTTGAGGTGTGGAAGTTAATGTTTCCAGTTCTGGATAATGATGCTGCCGGGTGAACCAGTTCTACTTACTGAATGACCTCATAGTACTGCTGGATGGTCTCCTCCCAACATCTTTCTGTCACTGCTGGTGGTGTATCGAGACTCACATCAATATCCTTGTGGTCCATGGTGTTTAAATATTCCTCACAGGCACGGAGCGCTGTCTCGACTAGTTGAACTGGAACAACGCCGCCTTTCTTTCGAGTCTGCCTGTGAAAAGCTAAGAAAACCAAAAATGTGGTTTCTTTGTCACTGACTGTCAGTCACCAGTTTAATAATTATACTCACAATGAAATGCAAAATAATATTTTTACTATTTCCCCTTTTTATCAACTGCAGTTTCTCTACCTCCTTAGTCTCTCAGGAAGGCATGAATTCTTTATTGGAAAACTGTTCATTATGGAGGTACCAAGACCCTGTGACATATAATTTTAGTAGCCTTTCTTATGTGACCTATGTAGTTGGCGTTATTAGGTGTAGCAGTCATCATAACTAAGTTAATTCTTCTGTTTATCTAACATTCTTGTAAATGAATAACAGAGTGGGTCATTGGCTTATGAACAGATTTTCATTCGTTACCCAGAGAATATGATATCAGTTCCCGTGCCATCTGTGGACTTGGTTAACTCAGTACATAATAGAAATGAAAAAAAAAATCATTTAGAGGGTCTGAGTATCATTGGCAAGGCCAACAGTCATTGGCCTTTCCCAGGTGTCCATGAGAGGTGGTGCAATGAGGACTTTGCAGAGTTTACTGGGCTAAATGTGTGTTTCGGATTTTGAAATGACACTTACAACAAAGCTGAGTGGTCTGTTTTTATTTTTATTACCTTTTCTCTGAGATAGTCCAAATCCATATTGCTCACCTATACACTATCTTTACCTATGAAACAGTTAAAGAGAAACTCCTGACAGTTTTCATTTTTAGAAATATCCTAGTTTCTAGTTTTGGGATCAAAGCTTTCACTATTGGTGTTTTTTTTAATCCCTTTTTTGAATGACTTAGCAACAGTTTTCACAAGAAGATTAACTCCTCCAGAATTAGAATAAATTGACTTTTGTGGAAGAAACAGAACATCCATTTCATCCTTAAACACGTCAAATGGTGGGAATTTTTCACACTGCTGGAACAAATTCTGCCAACTAACAGTTGTACCTTCATAACAGTCTGCTATTGTTGGAATACAATTTGGGCTTCTCCATGACAACGGAATAGATGTTGGTTATAGATTTCATAACTCTAAAAGTGATTCCTCCAATCAAATGAATGTTGCTGTGCAATTATTTCAATTGTCAACAAAATGCTTTCATTCATTTTGGATGGATTAGCACCAAATGATATAAATTAAGATATATGGGTATAAGATACACAGGGCATAAATTATTTGGCTCATCTGGTACTTGTCAATATAATTTTAAAATTTAGTCATTAATGTTGACGCATTAGATTAGAAAACATAACTAAATTAATAGATAATGGAATAAAGGGGGAATAAATTACAGATTTGCTCAATGTGGGTATCCCGGAGTTATCCATGTCATGATGAGCAGAAGAGTCCTCCAACAACAAATTCCAGGAGTTTCGAAGATTGAAACTCACATTGCATCTAATTTTTTTCAAGTGCTGTAATTCTAACATACTTTGCCATTTGCTAGGCTGAGTCTGTGGTACTCAAAATGCCACTGAGGATCTAACGTGCCACATCTCACCTTCACCTGACCTCAATGAGTAACTTGCTACTCATACCTCTTAGATTTTAGAAATTTTAAGCACAAATAAAAAGTCATGCCAGTGTACCCTGCATTAAAATACCTTATCTCTGGTATGTGCTGTGTTAACAGCTGTGACATAGGCTCAATTATTTCACTTTAAATAGCAACATTGATGAAAGTCTGATGCCACAATTCATAGGAAGTCTTCAGACTCCAATGAAATTTGCATTGATAAATCATTACTGGGAAAAGGAGTGTTTTGACATTTCTTGCACTCTTATGATAATTATATGTTTGATATTGTATTAGTTAGATATAGAATAAAAGTGTATCCATGTTTTGTATGTCCCCAAAACATACCTTAGCTCTACTCTTGGAAATCCATAGTATAGTGGTCTAAAATTTAGCTTTCCACTTAGAAGCCTTTTAAAATGATTCTGACATTTATGCCAAATTGTGAGCTGTCTTTCTACTGTTGACTCAGTCCAGAGGAACTGGATTGAGACTGCCCAAATTCATTTTACATAAGACAATCATGGTCACCAAAGTGGAGAATATAAGAACAAATGAAACTAAAAGGGCCATCAAACTGTTTTCTTCACCATTCATCTTTTATGGATCTATTGCTCTTCCATAAAAATACTTCTTTGAAAGGTGTATATTTACTTCATAAAAGAGCCAACATATGCAATTTTGTATCATGGTGAAACCCATGCTCACTTTATTTTCTCTGCTTCATATCACAGTGAACTTCGGAATTGCATGTCTCTTGTTCATGTGTCATCATGAGCCTAAAGGTCCCTTTCTCCTCAATATTTTGTAACAGTGTGGGGCTTCCCATTCTCTACTACCTTCCATCACAGAAGATCTTGGTGTCCTGTCTTTCCAATCAGGCCCTTTGTGAGGCACATCACTCTTCTTCTTCAGTTCTACAACCCACTTCAGTATACTCCGGGCTGCTGTCATTCTGAAATCCTCTGAAGATGATGAAGGATAATGATTAAGGTAGCCCCTTTATCAAGTTGAGGCAATACAAGGTAGAACAATAGATATTTGCTTTGATAAAATTCTATAATGCATACCATATATTCTTGAATACTAGCTGATTTTGTGTATACGTTCACTCCTGACATTTGGCTAAAAGGTCCAAGCCCTGTCTACTTACCACTGCTTGTGACAGCTCCTGCAGCTCAATTATGTCCCTCTTGACAACTTTCCCACTCACCACTACAATGTTTGTTTTCATGTCTTTACTATGAGCACCTATCTTTTGCTTTATACATCCTTATATTAATAACACAGCTGAATCATAGAATCCCTACAGAGTGGAGGCAGGTCATTCGGCCCTTTGAGTCCACACTGACCCTCTGAAGAGCATCTGGCCCAGACCCACCCCCCTACTCTATCCCTCTAACCCTGTATTTCCAATGGCTAATCTACCTAACCTACACATCCCTGGACACTATGGGCAATTTAGCACGGCCAATCCACATAACCTGCACATCTTTGGACTGTGGGAGGAACCGAAGCCCACACAGATATGGAGCGAACGTGCAAGCTCTGCACAGACAGTCACTCAAGGGTGGAATCAAACCCAGGTCCCTGATGCTGTGAGGCAATAGTGCTGACTGCTGAGTCACCATGCTGCTGGAGTCAAACTTGTTCTCATGCAAATCTACTCATTCATACAAACATAGAATAACACATCAAAGGTGGCTATTCAGCTCCTCATGTCTGTGCACATTAACACGCACTGACAAGGTTACCAATAGCCAAAGTGCTATCAGTGTTTCCACTGTATTTCCTCCATCCTGCCCTTTAATATAATATGGTACCAAAAAGGAATAGTCATTGAGGTTTTAGATCAGACAAATAATTGTGCAGCAGCTAGAAAATTCAAGATACCAGAGAAGAAAATTACAGATTGGAAAAAAAGTCTCTATGCAGCTTAGGTTGGTGATTAAGAATAAATGGATAAGCAGGGGAAAGCCTAGCATATGGCCACATTGGAAAATTAATTCATGAAATACATCAATGAAAATCACCAGAATGCATTCTCAACATTGCCCTAAAATTAAAAAAAATATAGGCACCAACAAAATTCAAACCATCCCTGGATAGTGTATCAAGCTTTATGAAAAGAAACAATTTTGTACTGTGACAGAAAACCAAGATTTCACAGCATCTCCCATCAAAACCTTGTTACCCACACTAGGGTAGCACACAGAACTCAAGCCCTACTATTCCTGGAGTTGACACAAAATTTAACTTGTTAATAGAAGTATATAAAATCACAAAACAACTTAATTTTCAGATCCAGTTTCAAAGAAAGCATGGGCCAGGTTCCTGTATACCATGTTTATTTTGTACAGGTAATCAGATTGAAGTAAAGTGTCGCAGTGGTCTGGGGTGAAATCCGTACAGAAATTGGGGTCAAATCATTCAAAGAATGTGGGCTATCCAATGCATTTGATGATACAGAAGATTACTTGTGAAATTACATGGCTGATGACACAATTGCTGATAAAGATGATGTTGATGATCCATATAATGACCAATTCAAGAAGTAGAGTGGACTGAGCTAATTGATGCTGAGGACACAGGTGATCTTAATATTTTAATATACATTGAGTGACACGTTGTATTCTTTTCTGTTCTATGTTAAAAACTGAATTAAGTTTTGTGGCTTAAATTTAGATTAATTTAGTCTACACAAATTAATGTCTGCCTCCATGGAGGTTATTTATTTGTAAATTAAAATTGTAAGAAGAAAAATACTTTCTGTTTCTTGTGCAGGGCAATGTTGACAGAAGCAGTCTCCAAATTGGCAGCTCTGAGACCAGTTGATGCACCGTCATAAACAGTCAGGTAGTGGAATAATGGCAGTGGGTGAATGTTAACCTTTGAAAATGTTACCTGTGTTTAAGTCAACACCCTACCTTTTGGCTAAAAATTTGGGCTCAGAGACCTGACCTAATATGACAATTTACAGTAATTGGGACTTTATAATAGTTAAAATATTGTCTGAATTTGTAATGAGTCATACTGCTCAAGCATTAGACAATCAATCTGCAGAGACAGAATGCCTTCCTTTAGCTGTTATAACTCAATAACACATAGCAAGGAGAGTGATGGATGATTATTTACTATTATTAATTTTCAAAAAGGATCTGAGACAAGATAATGTTTCCCATCCTCTCTCCCCTCCCCTACCCCCACTCCACTACCAATATTATCTCCCTGGATTATGACCCTCCTGCGGCTAAAAGGGCAGGTAGGTAGGTATGCTGCCATTTCTTCAGCAATACAACTCAGGGATTAATGAGACCAACCTGTGTATCTATCTTAAGAGGATCATATAAATTTTGTGGTTCAGGAAATCATGGCAGTAGTCAAATATTTTACTATTCATGGTTAAAAATTGTTCATTGCTTGCACCACTGTCATTATCTACGTATGTAGTTTCTAGGAAACATAATATATTTCATTCTGAGCAAATTGCATGTAGATCCCAGAAATTTGATTTGCTGTTTAAACCTGGCATGATTTTAAATTGCTTCCGATTGGATAGAACTGGTATTCTGCTTTACAAAAATCATAAAAATTCAGAAATTATTGCAAGTTTGGGAAACAGACCCTAAAGTGGGTGAACTGTGCTGAGGTGCTTAACAAATTATTGGTTGTAAATTTTATTTATCATTTTCTGAGTGTTTTAATGTCATTGCAGCACTGCAAAGCAATTGTACAAAGTACTTATTGTTAAAAATGTGTTAGTTTTTCATATAAGAGAATGTTGTGAATTAATTAATAGCAATAATTCAGTGGAGTAATTTCAGGTATTAAGTATGATTGGACTGGTATGGTTTATTCATTTTTTTTATTCATTCATGGGATGGCAGCATCATTGGCTAGGCCAGCATTTATTGCCCATCCTCATTGCCAGAGGGCATTTAATTGTCAACCACATTGCTGTGGGTCTGGAATCACATATAGGCCAGATCAGGTAAGGATGGCAGAATTCCTTTCCTAAAGGAGATTGGTGAACCAGCTGGGACTTTATGGCGATCAATAGTAGAGGTTGCCACTAGACCATCTCTTTATTCCAATTTTCTAAAAATTAAATTCAAGTTTCACCATTTGCCACCATGGTGGGATTCAAACCTATGACCGAGGGTTCTGGATAACTAGTCAAGTGATATTACCATGACACCATCACTCTCCCTATGTGTAACATCACCCGAACTCCTCAATGAGATAAGGGGTTCATAATTCATTGACTAGAGATCCAGTATTTTCAATGTATGACTTGATTTTATTTATTGTCACGTATTTATTACAAATACAGTGAAAAAGAGTGCACCATCTTAAAACACAGAAAGTAAGCCAAAACACAGAATATGAAGCCAGAAAAATAAAGCATTAAACAATTTAGGCTATTTCAATAAAGCTAATCTTTGGGGCATCTCCTGCTTCTAGCTGAGCCATGGGCCTGGATTTGGGCTCCTCCACCCCGCTGCCTCGAGTCACTGCTGCTAAACTGATGACACTGCTGCAGCTGCACTTTACCACGTTGCTCGAACAAAGAGTCACCCCTCTCTAGGGCCATCTTGCCTCCACCAACACCACCGCTGCAATGAATTCATGCTGGGCCAACCTCACTGACGCAGCCATTGCCGTTGCCATAGCAACGTGTTTACATAAAAACAAAAGTTTTGAAGATATCTGTGACTGGATTTCTGGCTCTCATGCTCTGGTAGTTCTCCAAACTGTCTTAGAAGAGGAAAATCCCCGTGGCCCCTTATTCTCACTACTGTAGGTATTGTTTGAATCTCACTAATGGGTATGTTACAGGAGATACTGTCAGCACTGCTACTTCTGGGCAATTGCTATCTATTAGGCAGAAGATTTTGTGAATGCAAGCTGAACTTGTATATTGTTTTTGAAGTGTGATTGTGTCACAGCATGGAATTGATGATCCATCATACACAGGGACAGAGACATAGTTTTTTTTGTAGATTGCACCATAGTGCACCAGATGCTCATGGTTAGAGCATGTTCAGGTGCACGTCTTTTAGGATGCATAGTGGTAATATGTTGCCACTGGCTCCTGTATCAGTTTTGGCTTTCAGGGTGTGTTGACCTGCCTTTAGGCTTCATACAATCTCATGTGCCATAACCATTCATGAGATTCAAACCACACTCACAGCAGTGACAGTAAAAGAGCCACAGGATTTGCCTCTAAAGACAGAAGAATGAAACTGATACACCACTAGTGAACAGGTTGGAGAACTACCAGAAATACACACTGTACAGAGTGAGAATCAGAAATCCAGGCATAAAATCTTGTGCTTATCATATCGTCAACCCTACACACCCCGATGACATATGAAAGGCTCGGATATATTCCAAGGGCTGCTTTTCAGTTTGTTAATTGTCCACTTTGTTGAACTAATTGTGTACATTTGGACCATCTTCTGAGTTGCACTACCTCTTTGGTCACATGGTTTGGCTTTTAAAACCAAAATTTTCTGCACATACATGCCCAATATCCTTTGGTGCCATGCACTTTGTGTATGTAAAGAAATGCAGAACAACTGTTGGGTAGGTGTGACAAACCACATCTATGACAGATCTTGCTGGATTTGTGCACTTTGCTGGTCATAGCAAATGTTTTCTGTTATTATGGCTTCTTGCTGCCGTCCAGGCAATGATATGACGCTTTCTCTTTCCCAGAAGATGATTTTCCAAATGCTCAGAATGGCATAGAGGTGATTACCGACTTGATTAGTCTCTGTGAGCTCTTCTTCAGAGAGCCCACAGTCATCTTTTGCTGAGGCATATGGCACAAAAGTCATGACTAGATTCTTGGGGTTTCTGTCTGTATGACATGAGTTTGAATCTGTTTATCCAGAAGTTGATTTCTATTTTGATCTGGATCTTTAACATCTTCCTTAGAAAAACTGGACGTGTTTAGTTTGTGAAGCCCTTCCTTGCCAATAACATGATATTTTAAGAGATCTGTTCTCAGGATCATTTATGGTTTGATCTGCAAAATAAAACTGCATAAGTTGCTTAAATAGCTCTTGTTCAATGAAGAGGTAACTTGCTGGCCCTTCCACAAGTAAATATTTGCCTTCCATTTCTTGTCGACAGTCTGTGGCCTTTTGCTTTATTGAAGTAGAATGCAGGGTTTTGTTCCTTTCTCTTACATGGTTCACTATCCTGTTCTCTTATTTTTCCTACTTTTGCTTCTATTTCACTTTATTTTTAATGGTTCCGGCCTTTTTAGGCAGCTTTGGGTATAGGAAACTCACCTTTAAATGATAAAAGCCTGCAGCAAGTTTCAGTCACAAGAGGGAGTTTACACCAAATAAGTGCCAATGAAGATGCACCAGCTTTGGTGTTAAGTTGAACAAAATAAAGTGGTAGAACCAATTGAGCACTGCAAAACTGTAGAAGCCTACCTGTGTACAATCACTTTTCAGTGCCTACAACACCAATGTTCTGGACAGGAAGGCTATGTAAAAACCAAAAGAACTGTGGATGCTGTAAATCAGGAACAAAAACAAAGTTGCTGGAAAAGCTCAGCAGGTCTGGCAGCATCTGTGGAGGAGAAAACAGAGTTAACGTTTCGGGTCCGGTGACCCTTCCTCAGAACTGATGGTGGCTGGGAAAACGTCAGTTTATATGCAGAAAATAGGGAGGTGGGTGGGATAGGGAGTAAATGATAGGATAGAGCCCAAAGAGAGAGAAAGACAGTTGGACAGACAAAGGAGTTGCTAACAATCAGGCTGGGAGGGTGAGTAGAGATAGTAGGAACTGCAAATGCTGGAGAATCTGAGATAACAAGGTGTAGAGCTGGATGAACACAGCAGGCCAAGCAGCATCAGAGGAGCAGGAAGGCTAACGTTTCAGGCCTAGACCCTTCTTCAGAAATGTAGATACATCTACGTTCTGCTCGCAGAAAAGACCCTGAACTACCTGTTGCCTGCTACTTCAATGCACCACCCTGCTCCCTGGCCAACACCTCTGTCTCTGGCTTGCTGCAGTGTTCCAGTGAAGCCCAACGCAAGCTGAAGGAACAACACCTCATTTTCCGCTTGGGGACCCTACAGCCCTCCGGACTCAATATTGAGTTCAAAAATTTTAAGGCCTAAACTCTCCCATGTCCCAGCCCCCCACCCCACACACCAGGCCTTGTTACCACATAGCCTGCCATTACACACCCCCTGTTGTTAGTCACTAACAGTCCCCATTAACAACTACTCACCCTCCCAGGCTGATCGTTAGCAACTCCTTTGTCTGTCCAACTGTCTTTCTCTCTCTTTGGGCTCTATCCTATCATTTATTCCCTACTCCACCCACCTCCCTATTTTCTGCATATAAACTGACGTTTTCCCAGCCACCATCAGTTCTGAGGAAGGGTCACTGGACCCGAAACGTTAACTCTGTTTTCTCCTCCACAGATGCTGCCAGGAAGGCTACGTAGTTAAACTGACAGTATCTTCAGACTGCCAATGTCAGTTTTGATCCTGTAAGACATCTTTTAGTTGTGGATTGATAAAATGTGCAGCTGGAGGAGCACAGCAGGTCAGATGGCATCAGAGGAGCAGGAAAGTCACCGTTTCGAGTCTGGACTCTTCGTCAGGCCATTTTATTGACTCTGACTTCCAGCATCTGCTGGGCTTTTTTCCAAGTCACTGAAAACCATACTGCGTAACCTCTTCCAAGGATCTCCACCTTGAAAAAGTTTTCCTTCTCCCTCTGAAGAGATCTCAATGGGTCTCTGTCCCACTGCAACCTCCTGGTTATCTCCTTCATCCCCAGTCCTGATGAAGGGTTCAGACCCGAAACGTCGACTTTCCTGCTCCTCTGATGCTGTCTGACTTGCTGTGCTCCTCCAGCTCCATGTTTTATTGACTTTTAGGATTGGATTTTGCTTTTAAAACAATAAGAAGTCTTTAACTGATGTACCTTAGCTTTTATGCCAGCATGCAGGCTGAAACTTTTTTTTGATGGCTTCTATCTTGACAAGTCTCAAACTTTAAGTGGAGAGACACTAACTCTGCCTCCTACCTCTTTATGTTGGCAATCTATACTCATGTAAACTTATTGTCGATGTTCATTTGAATGCTTTACAATCCAGGACTGTCCAATCTTCAGTGGGGATTCCTTTATAAGCTGTTACTGGTGCTTCCTACTGCAATGCTACCATGACATGATAGTAAGGTATATTAGCAGATAATCTGCAATATTACACTGTGATACTTACGTTAGATCCCAAACAAATATGGGACGAGAGTTATGCAGTGCTGAAAAATTCAATTAATGTTTATTACAGCTCCTGGATTTTACACACATACATTATACAAAGGCATTTGAATTTCTGGGCTCAAGCTAAGCAATTTGAATGTATTGTGGTATGCTTTCCTCAACATATCATGCTGCAAGAGGATATGGCTCCGTAAGATGGAGCCTGAGAACTTTATACCATTAGGTAACATGCCATGATATGTTAATGACATCATGAGCATGTCCCTACAAGTATATTGCATGTCTGGTGCAACATAATGCATAATGCAACATTTTCAACCGAATATAAAATCAGCTTACAAAATTATGAAAACAGTTGACAAAGTTGATCTACAAAATAATTTAATATGGCAATAGAACATATTTTCCTTGAAGTATAATACACTTCAGGAAAAGTTACCATGGATGACTAGTGAAGTAATTAGTATAAATCTGTTCAAGTAGAAATTGTATATGTTTCTGTAAAGGGATTGAGGAACATTGTGTTAAGGAAATTGGTTTTGGTTGATCTAGTCAAACAGATAGCTTTCTTGAATTTATCAGCCTCCTAATATTCCTAAAAATAGAATTTATGTTCCAAATGGAAGACAATGGACTGGATTACATACCAATGAATGATTGCTTTTCTTCTGCGACTGCAATTCTATAGCATCGAGGGAAAAAAGTGTCAGGATTCACCCCATTAAACCATTGGAAGTTTCTGAGATTTACACAAAGTCCTGCCTAGAAAGAAACAGCAGCATTACACATACATATATGAGCTGAAACAGCAAGAATGAGATGTATTTTGGGAAATTTAAGTGTTACTTGGTGAAAACAATCTAAGCAATAAATACATCCAGCAAGAGATTATGTGTACACATAAAGATTTGGAAATATTTTGTACAAGTACTGAAACAGTACAACTATTAGACACTTAGAAACCCTAGTAAGGTATGCAATATGCTTCTTCATACATAAACAGATCCTGAAATTATACAACTGTTACTCAGCTGAAGTATTAAAATACACTTTTATTCTAATGGCAGTGTTGGTAAAAGCAGTTTTACTTCATGAGTGTTGTAGTTAGAACGAACACAACTTGAATCTGAAGGCTCAGTCCAAACTGACTGAGTCAGAAGTCACATGACACCAAGTTATAGTCTAACAGGTTTATATGGAATCACACAAGCTTTTGGAGTACAGCTCCTTCATCAGGTGAGCCTCACTGCACCTGACGAAGGGGCTGCACTCCAAAAGCTTGTGCAATTTCAAATAGACCTGTTGGGCTATAACCTGGTGTGATGTGACTTCTGACTTTGTCCACCCCAATCCAATACTGGCATCTCCACATCAAACTGACTGAAGCTAAGTGGAGTGAAAATTGTCTGTGGGGGAGTTAATCTGACTCTACGTTGCTCTGGAAATTAGTTGAACAAAGGTCTGAATTTACAGCATTCATACTGAGTGTCAGAAAATATGAGCTGAATTTTATAGTGGGAGTTTGGTTGCCATGGGTAGAGTTTCCTGGTCAGGCATCTTGTGTCCATCTGAGATACCACCAAAGTATTGTCGTTCACCACCACATTTTTTCCTACTTCCCTGCCCTTCAGGTCCAGCCCCACCATCTCACTGGGATCTATCATGATAGTCCTAGTGAAACCTGGACTTACCTTGACAGTTAAGGATCCCTTGACATCTCCTCTTTGGGTCCACATGTAGTCTCAACAGTGACCACAGGCCTTGGTGGCACTGCTGGGATAAGAGAGCTGCCAGATATTTGATTGGCTGGAGGTGGGACTTCCTCTTTGATGGGGTGGAGAATTGATGGCTGGTGGGTGTAGAAGCAGAATTTTCATCCCTAGTATTTTTAACATTCCAAAACCTTACTTTACACATACATACATGTCATTCAGAGCTGGAGTAGGCCACTAAGCTTCTTGAATCTGCTCCACCATTCAGTATGATCATAGCTGATTGTGGCCTCAGCTCCATATTCCTGCCTATCGCAAATAACAATTATTTAAAAAAAAAATTATCTCTGCCTTTAAAAATATTCAATTACTCTGTTCTGGGAAACTGAGTTCCAACAATGCTATCTTCTGAGAGGGGCCAAAAAAAAATCTTCATTTCCATCGGAATGGAAGACTACTTATTTTTAAACTGTGTTCCCTATCTCTAGTCCCTTGTGGGAAGGATTAGAGTCCTCTTAGAATTTTGTAAGTCTCGGTAAGATCACCTCTTATCGTTTTAAACTCCAGTGGATACAGACCCAGCCTGGTTCAAGCTTTTCACATAAGATAACTCACCCAGCTCAAGCCATCAGTCAAGTTAACCCTCCTGAGCTATTTCTAATGGATTTATATCCTCACTTAAATAATGAGACCATAACTGTGCACAGTCCTCCAGATGTGGTCTCACCAATGTCCCATAGAACTGTAGCAAAAACATCCCTACTTTTATATTCTATTCCCCTGGAATAAACAACGTTTCATTTCCCCTTCTAATCACTTGCTGTACCTGCATACTAATTTAATGCGATTCATAGAACACCCAGATCACTTGACTTCACAGTTCTGCGATTTCTCTCAATGTAAATAAATGCTGTTTTTCTTTCCTTCTTGCCAAAGTGGACACGTTCACATTTTCTGATTTTATACTCCACCTGCTGATTTTTGTCCACTCACTTAACCCATCTGTTTCCTTTTCCAGACTCCTATGTCCTCCCAATAACCTTTATCTATCTTTATGCTAACAGCAAATTTCACAATAATACATCTGATTCCTTCATGCAAGTCATTCAAGTAAATCACCCCAGTACTTGTCCTTGTGGCACTCTACTTGTCACATCTTGACAACCCAAAAATGACCCATTTATGCCTACTGTTTCCACTTAACTAATCAATCCTTTATCCATGCTAATATGTAACAAAAGCTCTTATTTTCTACAGTAACCATTAAGAAGGCACCTTGGCAAGTATCTTCTGGATATCTAAGTCCAGCACATTCACAGGTTTTCTTTTATCCATGTTTCTTATTACTTCTTCAAACATTTTCAATAAGTTAAAACATGTTTCCTTTCACAAAAGGAATGTTGACTTTTCCTAATTGCGTTGATCTCTTCTAAATAGCCTACTCTATTAGCCTTAATAAAATATTGCAGCATTTCATCTGTGGCAGATGTTACGCTAACTGGCCTATAGCTCCTTGGGGCTGGATATTATATGCCCCTGTGTTTCTTTTTGGTGAGGCAAGTGGTAGGGAGTTGTGGGGATGGTGGCATTATGGCATGTAATGCAGGTCATGGGTTAGCCCACGACATGCTAGCCCATCTGAGTTTGTCCCCATAATATAATCTGGGACATTGAATTGGCAACATGCTCACTATATGTACACGAATAATTGAGTGTCACCTGAGCTTGTTCAAAGTTTCACATGACATAAAACTGTTGACATTGGCAGGTGAGCGGGAGTGAGTTAACTTTTCGAAACAAAAAAAGTGCAAAATGGTGGGAAGGATGTAACTATCTTTAGGGTAGCGCCTTTTGTCCATCCATGTATTTTAACATCCATTCTCCACACCTTTACCCCAGCTAAAGGTGCCAAGAAGCGCCCCCATCCCTCACCCTAGAATCCTTCAGGCTTCCTTAAGGGGCCTGCCGGCAATGCTGGAAGTGTCCACTATGGATCCCTGGTGCTGCCAAGACTGCTGGAGCTGTTCGTCAATGTGATTGGCTTGCAGCTTCAGACGATGGTACTTCCTCCCTCCGAGGGACGAAGTTCCAACTATCCATCAGTTTACCCAGCCACGAGTGCTTTATAGGTGCAGGGCAGACTTGTTGTTGGTTTGTTTATTTTTATTATTGGTCAGGTGGCTGATTGCTGACTTTTCTTCCAGATGAGCAGGACATCATCTCCCTGACCCCAACAAGCCAATAACTTTCTGCCCCTCCCTTCTATTTCAGCAATCACTTCTTTTAAGACACTTGGTAAAGTATGTCAGGGCCTGGCGACTTGTCAGCTTTTAGTTCTAATAATTTTCTCAGCATCATTTCCTTGGTAAATGTAGATCATAGATCATAGAATCCCTACAATGTGGAAACAGGCCCTTTGGCTCAACAAGTCCACACCGACCCTCAGAGCATCCCACCCAGACCCATCCCCCAATACCCCACGTAATCTACACATCCCTGAACACTATGGGCAATTTAGCATGGCCAATCCACCTAGCCTGCACATCTTTGGGACTGTGGGAGGAAACCGGAGCACCCGGAGGAAACCCACGCAGACATGGGGAGAATGTGCAAACTCAATACAAACAGTTGCCCGAGGGCGGAATCAAGCCCGGGTCCCTGGCGCTGTGAGGTAGCATTGCTAACCACTGAGCCACTGTGCCGCCCCAATAGTTGTTTAAGTTCCTTCCCTCTTTCACCTCCCGAATCACACTTGTTTCTGATATGTTAATTGCATCCTCTACAAGGAACGTAGATCAAATACCTATTCAATTCATCTGCCATTTCCTTATTTTCTGTTTTTAATTCTCCAGACTCACTGTCTAGCGAACTAACATTTATTTTACAAAAACAGAAATTTCTGGAGAAACTCAGCAGGTCTGGCAGTATCTGTGGGAAGAGAGCAGAGTTAACATTAAGACTGACTGATGGAACTGATGGAATCCACCAACTCAAAACATTAACTCTGCTTTCTTCCCATGGATGCTGCCACACCTGCTGAGTTTTGCCAACAATTTCTGTTTTGTTTCAGATCTCCAGCATGTGCAGTTCTTTGTTTTATTTTAGTGCAACACTCACTTTAGTTACTGTTTACCCTTTTTAAAATATCTATGGAAACTTAGTTTTTAAAAAAGAACATTTCTAACTCTGTTCTCCTGAACAATAATTTCCACCTCCTTATTAATCTTTAAGCCATCTATGATGTTCTTTATTTTATTTAAATACTTCTGAACTGCCACTCATCTTTGCAGAATGTTACACTTTTTATTTCAATGTTATACTATATTTAATTTCTTAAGTTGGTTACAGACAGTGCATCCTTACCTGGGAGTCCTTCTTTCTCAACAGTATGTACCTTTCTGGGTATTCAGAAATGACTGTTTAAATGTCTACCACAGTATCTCCACTGACCTGTCCTGCAACCAAATTCTACAGTTCACATTAGCCAGCTTTGTCTTCATGTGCTCATAATCACTGTCATTTAAGTTTAAAAAAACTAGTCTTAGATCCTTTCTTCTCTCCTTCGATCTTACTGTGATGCTCAATGGTACTACCTGCAATCGGATAGGTTCACTATTTTATGGACCAGACCAGGACCCCAACCAAAATATACTATGGAGATAGCTTAGACCCTCACTCTATTTTTTGTAAAAAGGCAAGTGTAAGACACTGTGTTCCAGATATGATTTGATTTGTGCACCACTAAGCTTTAATCAAACATACTTTATTCTTACAACACAGTTAAAATACAACAAAAAGAAGAATTGGCACAACTTTGCTCTATTGAAGTACTTAATGTATTATTTACCCGCTAATCATCATCATATAGGCAGCAGCCTGTAAACACACCCTTGGCAAAGGCAATTCAACAACAGTTATTATTCTCACATGCTGTCACTTCACTCCAGCAGCACAGGACTCAAACATTCAGCTCCAGCAGTCAGCAAAACCCACCAACTAACTGAAAGGAAAACCAAAATCCTTTTGGGTCTATGTGAGCCTGACCCCACC